CACTCTTGCACCCCCTGCTTCAAATCCTCCTAGCACAGCATCCCCAAGGCCCAGCTGGGGCTGGGATGGAGCTGAGCGTGCCCTGGGGCTGGCAGGGCACCGTGGGCTGCGTGCCCAGAGCACGTTTCCTGCCAGGCTCTGATAAGATGTGCCTTCATTCACGGCTGTGTGCTGACCACAGGCCACATGAGAGGCCCGGCGTGGCCCACTTGGGAGCAGAGGAAAGGCGGCGTGCCCTGGCAAACCCCTCTGCAAGGAGCTGCTGGGAGGAGAGGCCGTGCCCGGCCGTGGTGGAGCCCTTTGGGGTTGTTCAGGGGCTGGGCACGCTGTGGGATCTGATCCCAGAGCTCCTTGGGGAATCTGCCCGTTTGTCACAGAATGCCAGACTGGTTTGGGGTGGGAGGGACCTCAAAGCTCATCCCATTCCGCCTCCTGCCATTGACACCTTCCACTCTTCCAGGCTGGTGGGACCAGTCTGGCCAGGCCCTGGTGTGCAGGAGAAGGCCTTGGGTGAATCAGGGAGGCTTTTCCTGGTGTATAAATTGTGTGGGGTTGAGCCAGTGAGGCTGGCAGTGCTGCTCCCACACAGGCACAGCTGTAACGGGCAAAAGAGCAGCAGATTTGGGGCACGGCTGAGGAGGATTTTGAAGGTGGCTGCACAGAGGTGGCACCTGAGGTGCAGGGCAGGGGTGGCCCATGAGCCAGGAGCGCTGGGCACTGCAAAACCTCTTGGGCAGCTGAGGGAAGGGGAATGAGGAACAGGGCTCTTCCCTCACCCAGCCTGGCCTGGGCTGAGGGTACAGCTGGCAGCCCCAGCCCCTGCTCCACCCCCCAATTAACCCGTGTTTGCTTATTAGGGGAGTTACAAGCCTGTGCAAACACTTCCATTTGCTTTCGATAAAACCAGGGGAGGAAAAAACCCTGCCCGTGAGGTGTGGCCGGGCCCTGCAGCTCCTCCCAGGGGTCTGGGGCTCCGGGGGGCTGCTGAGGGCCACCTGCCATGGCCGAGTGTCCCTCCCTGCCGCGGTGTCACCCGCTGGCTGTCCCCAACCCCGCTGCTCCCACACAACCGCGGCGTTTGTCCCAAACTTGGCCCGGTGTCGCCAACAGCAACTGCTAATTGTTCTCGCGCTCTGTACTATATTTAATTCCCCACTATTATTTTTTCCCCTTTTAATCATAAAAAGCCTAAATTTCCCTCGGGGAAGGTTATTGGCTCGAGTGTGGAAATATACCTGTGCCTCGCATGGCGCTGGGCCACCGGGGCTTTGGCTGTATTTTTAAATCCAAGTACAAAGTGTCTTCCACGCCAGCGCCGTTTAACCCTTCCCAGGAGGGAGAGTGGGAGGAAAGGAGTGTGTGGGGGAGGGCTCTTCCCTTTTTTTCAGCTCCTGCTTGGAGCAGGATGGGTTTGGATGCGTGGACAGCAAGGTGGGCAAGGAGAAGAGTGGGGTTTGAGGATCTGACCCTATTTTCCTCTGGCAATTCCTCTGCTTCTCCCTCTCCCACACCCACGAGGTCGCCCCGAGCATCTCCTCCTTCCCAGCCTCCTCCTGCCCCCCTTGTGGGTGTGTGGGGGGGTTGGGGTGCTCCGAGGTAACCCGGAGCCTCAGCACCTTTGAGGATGTGGGCCAAAGTCATCCAGTCTGAGAGCTATTTCGGGGGAGCGCGGCTGCTCCCGCGGGAGCGCCGGCACAGCCGCCGCCGGAGCCGGCCGGGCACGGGTGGGACAGGCAGGAGGGAGCTGCTCCCGTCTCCTCCTCCGTTAATGAAATCACCCGAGGGGGCTCGGCCCTTCCCCCGCAGACCTTGGGGCGCCTTTCAAGCGGCCGCTGCAGGGGGAGGTTTGGGTTTGCAGCTCTGAGCAGATTTGGGGTCTCACCCTCGTCCCTGTGGGTGGATGTTCTGTGCCAAAGGAGAGATTTTGTTCAGTGGTAGCTGCTCTGGTCTGAAATCCTCGCTCAGAGGGAGAAATGGGATTGAAACAGCCCTTTTTTCTGGCCTGGGGTCAGCCCTGGTTTCATCCATCCCAGCCCTGCTTCTCTCTGGGGTGGGAGGACGGGGCAGCAGCTGAAAGGCTCCACACAGGCTCTGTGCTGCCTGACCCCGCTGCTGTCCCCAGAGCCACCAGACGAGGGGACAAATTCCCCTCCTGGCCCGAGAACCCCCCTCCTCTGCCTGACCCTCAGCAGAGCCCTCTCACTGCCTGCTCTGCCCGGCACAAGGGACCGAGTGTCTCCCTCCCTGCCTCTCAAACAAAGGCAGCCACAGTCATGTTTCTCCTTCTTCTTCTTCCAAGTGGTTTCACCCTTGAGTTGCCGGCCTTGATTTGGGATTCCTGAGGGCACCAGAAGCCAGAGGGGGCCCTGGCAGGGTGCTGGGAAGCTCTTTGGGCACCAGCACCCGTCTGCCCTCCCCAGCTGCTCCATCCCCTCCAGCTGCATGTGGACACAGTTGAGCTCCAAGCGGGACCCTGTGGAGCTTTGGGGGTGAGGACCCAAGGCCGGGTGATCTGTTCTGGGAATCCAACCCCACGGCACTGCAGGGAACACTCCCTGCCAGGCTCAGCGTGGGAAGGGTGGGCAGGTAAGGGGAGCCTTGCCAAGGGAGCATCCCGCGGGCAGGGCGGGGGCCTGGGGCAGGGAGGGGACCCTGCAGCTCCTTCAGAGGAGCAATTTCAGCATGAGAAAGGAATGTGGCTCCCGGCCCTGCCAGGGATGGGATGGAGGCTCAGGAATAGGGATGATTTCTGCTGGCCTGACTCACTGGCGGCCTCCTCGCAGCCGCTTCCTCTCCGGGAGGCAGAAACTCCCAGTTTTTATTTATCACATGCCTTAAAGTAGGGGTGAAGGAAGGAAATGTTGTTATTTTTAACTCCTCTGTCTCCCCGGGGCCTCGGCCAGTGCTGGCACGGCGAGGTGGCCACCAGGAGCATCCCCCTCACCTGGGCCCTGCTGCTGGCAGCTCCCCATGGGCTGAGCCCGTGCACGGAGTGTCCCTGCAGGCTGGGAGCATCGAGGGGCCCTGTGCAGAGTGGGGACACCCAGGGTGGGCAGGGGGATGGCTCGGTGTGGGCACGGCCACGCTGAGGGCACCTGAGATCCACTGAGCCCCAGGGAAAATTCATTTCTCTTTCCTTGAAGCCACCTGCCCGTGCGGCTGCTCGTGTGGGGACAAACCTTGGTGACCTCATGGGGGTCCCTGTTTGTGCCCCTCACAAGGACAGAGCTGTCACCAACTCTGGGGTCCCTGTTTGTGCCCCAACAAGGACAGAGCTGTCACCATTCCAAGGGTGTGGGGTCCCTCTTTGTGCCCCCAACAAGGACAGAGCTGTCACCATTCCAAGGGTGTGGGGTCTCTCTTTGTGCCCCCTACAAGGACAGAGCTGGAGGATGGGGAGGGCTTCATCCATGCCAGCCCCATCCAGGGAGGATTTGGGATGTTGTGTCGCCATTCCCAGGGTTCAGAGTGGGCAGGGTGACACCCCTGCAATATTTTGGGTTCCCCAGCTGAGCTGGGACATTCAGTGCCTGGCTGGGCACTGGCAGCACCCGGTGGTGCCATGGCTGGGATGGAAGCTTCCAGAGGCTCCATCCTGCTGTCCCCAGTCCTCCTGGGTGGCAGGAACCAGGCCAGGTGCCTGTTTGTGTAGTGCCATGGGGTTTTTTGCTTTCCCAGAGGGTTTTCCTTGCCCAGCCGTGCCCGGTGAGGCTGGTGGCACTGGCGTGGCACAGCCACAGTGCCCCTCAGTGAGGCACCTGTGCTCACAGCAGCTGATCCAGGTGTGGAGTTTGGGACTTTGGTTCCTTGGGGCTTTCCTTGAGCTCCTGTTGTGAAACCTTCATTTGCTTCTAAAAGCAGTGAGGTTTTGGTGGTTTTTTTTTTCTCATGATCTTCTCTTTTCCCCCTCTGTTGCCTGAGATAAAGGCTTCTAAATTTGTCCTGTGCTGAAAACGCAGCTAATCCTGATGGACCTGAATTCACATCTCCCCCCCAGAGGAATTGCACTAATTTTTTTCCCTTTGTTCTGCCAGGGGACCTGTCCGTTTCCTAGTGGAAAGAAAAAAAAAAATCACTATTTAGGGCAAGGTTTATATTCCCGAAACCTGTGTTTGTTTGCGAGAAAAGAGGACAGGAGGGAAATAAATGAGAAAAGCATCATGCTGCTTTTTTTTTTTTTTCCTCCTCTCCCGATATTGTTTTTACAGCAGGCAAGTTTTAATTAAAGTGAAGAACTAGGTCGCTTGTGCTGTCCAGAAGATGCTCTGAGGACGTGCTCCTTTCCCACCAGTGCTCATTTGGGAGCCCAGAGCAGCTGGCCCAGCCTGGGGGTGCTGGGAAGGCTCCTTAAAGGGCTGCAGGGACAGGGTGGGCTCTGCAGGAGGGCGTGGGGGTCTCTCCTTCCTGCCCACAGCTCCTGGCGGGGATGGAGGGGTTGGGGAGCCACTCTCAGGGCCGGGCTGGCACCGCGGCGGGGGACGGGCAGCGCTGCGGGGACAGGAGGGGACAGCGCTGCTGAGAGGCAGAGCAGGTGCGAGCGGGCCCTGCTGGGAGCGGCGAGCTGGCAGGAGCCACCTGGGCTTCAGGAGGGGACAAGTGACGGCCTGGGGCAGGAAAACCCCCCGAGAGCCTCCGAGAGCCTCACCGGGGGCTGTCCCTGCTGCGGGACCCGGGAACGCGGCGGATGAAGGGACAGGGACGGGGATGGGGACAGGGATGGGAACAGGGACAGGGACCTGCGGCTCCCGCGGTGCCACCTGAGGAGGGGCGGCACTGTCGGGGGAAGGAGCGGCGGCAGTGCCCGCTCGCCATCGCCGGTGGCAGCGCACGGAGCGCGGGGGGCTCCCCGCGACCCCCGAGCGCCCGGGGCCGTCCCAAGCGGGGCTGAGACCCCCGGGCTGGGGGCTCCGTGCCGGCTCTGAGCGGCCCGGGGGGGCTCCGTGCCGGGGGCCGGGGGTGGCGGGGCAGAGCCGGGGCGGCGGAGCCGGGGCTGCCCGCGGGCACCGGGGAGCGCAGCCCGAGCCCCCCCCCGACGGGAGGCGGGAGCGGGGGTGGGGCCTCCGGTGGCCCCCCCCGTCCCGGGCGGCCCCGGGTCCCCTCCCCGCACGCTGCTGCCGGCGGGACTTCCTGATCCCGCCGCATTGGCCGCAGGTAGCGCAGCCGTGCGGGACGGGGCACGGACAGACGGACAGAGCCCATGCGGACCCTTAGCTGAGCTTCATCCCCCCCCCCCCCCCCCCTCCTCCTCGTCTTCCTCCTCCCTCCCTGCCCGGCTCCCTTCCTGCCCGGCACATGTAAAACTTGTGGGGCTCCGCTCCCGTCGCGCTCCCGGTGCTGCTGGCGGCAGGAGCCGGGCTGGGATCGTCCCCCCGCGGAGCAGAGACCCCTCCTCACCCCTCCCCGGAGCGGGGACCCCCCGGCTCCGCTGGCCCATGCTGGATTTCGGCCCGGGAAGGTGACTGCAGGAGGAAGCGGCGCCGCGCCGGGTCGGGGTAACCATGAATGAGATGTCGAGTTTCCTGCACATCGGGGACATCGTCTCCCTGTACGCCGAGGGCTCCGTCAATGGCTTCATCAGCACCCTGGGGTGAGCGAGGGGCTCCCGGGGCCGCCCCGCGGTGATTCCGGGACGGACGGGACGGGAGCGCGGTGGGAGAAGGAGCCGGGGAGCTGCGGGCGCTCGGCGGGACGGGCAGAGGAGCCGGCCGGGGACAGGCTGTCCTGCCCCGGGTCGTCCCGGACTCCAGCTGCTGTCAGGGGCGGGATGTGACCCTGCAGGGACCCCGGCCAGAAGCTGCTTCCCCCCATTCAGGGGCTGGGGGGGTGAGATGGGTTTGAGCAGCGCTCCAGCTGCTGTCAGGGGCGGCATGTGGCCCTGCAGGGACCCTCAGCCGCGCTTTCCCCCGGCCAGAAGCGGCTTCCCCCCATTCAGGGGCTGGGGGGGTGAGATGGGTTTGAGCAGCGCGGGGGTCGGTGGGGTGAGGACAGGGACATGTGGGGTGACAGCTCGGCCAGCCGGGACCCCTCCTGGGCACGGGGTCATTGCGGGAGGCTGGCACTGCCCTGTCCCCCGGCCATGGACGGCGGTGGCGGCTCCCGCTGTCCCCCTCGGTGTCGCACACGCAGCGGGAATCGCTGCAGGGTCACCAAGCCGGGCTGCCCGTGGCCACCAAGCGCTGCCAGGGGGACAGGACAGTGCCAGCTCCGGGCTGAGGCAGCTGCCTGGACGTGGCAGGACGGGCCGGGGCATCTCTGCCCACCCTCTGTCCCGTGTCACTCCCGTGCCCGGCTGGAGCCGCCCCTGGGCACAGCCAGGCCAGCGATGCCACTCTGCTCCCGGCGGGAATGTTTGCCCGGTGGCACGGGGACAGGGTGGGTGACAAGGAGAGCTCCCACAGGGCCGCCCTGGGGCACGGGTGGGTTTTTCCTTTTCCACACACTCAGGAGCCCAAAGCGTGCCCGCAGCCCGGGGCAGGGGGGATGTGGGGCCGTGCCAGCTCCTGCCCCACGCTGCTGCGTGTAGGAGAGGCTGAGCTCAGGCAGGAATGCTGACTTGGATGGGATTCCTGGGGCAGGAGCTGCCCGGCTCTATAATCTGCGCTGAATGCACTTGCTCCCACATGCCTGTGCCGAAGCGGAGCCGCGCATACCTGCGCCCACACGCGTTCCTCACCCACCCCTGGGCACGCGTGGCACCGGGCTGCTGCCCACCGAGGCTCCCTGCGCCTGGCTGCCCAGAAATGGGGTGCAGGGGTGCTCAGGATCGCCGTGTGTGCAGGCACAGTGCTGGGCAGCAGGTCCTGCAGGTGCAGCCCGTCTGTGCCAGCCCTTCCTGCATCCCCACGGCTGCTTTTGGAGAGGTGGCCTCGGGGCTGTCCCCAGCGCTCCTCCAGCCTCTTGGCAATGGGCTCTGCAGGAGGCTCTGCAGGGACCAGCGCTGGTCGTTGTCCCCAAACACGTCCCAGTGGTTCATTTAGAAATGCGTGCATTGTTCAGAGTTCTGATCCCTTTGCAGCTCTGGCCCTCACACCCCCCTTTTTGCCAGGTGTTTTTCCAGACTCCCTCAGAAGCAGCACAAGAGCAGGGCTTGCTTGGGGAGCCTCTTCTCAGCCCTGCACATCCTCTGCTGGGCAGCCCCACTTTCCAGGCTTCTCTTCCTGCACGTTCTTTCCCCCCTTCCCTCCTAAAATTGTTTTCCCTGGTGCCCTGCGACACGGGAGACCCAACCGCACCTTAAATCACTCCCGCGATAAGGGAGCAGGTGACTCACCGAGAGGGCTCCTCCTGCCCCTGGGACCTTCCTCAGCTCATTTGCAAGGCAAACAGCTCTGCCGGCCCACGCGGCCGCCCTGCGGAAACCTTCCTGACATCCTTCCTCGTGGAGGGGCCGTGGGATCGCCTGGGGTCTGCAGCGGGATCCTCTCTGTGTGGGGTGACACGGAGGTGCTGATCACCGGTGTCACATTGAGGGTGGCTGCTGTGACATCCCCGGGGGTCTCCGGGGTGTGGGGTGGAGGTGAGGGGAGCCCACCCGAGGCTGCTCTGCTCCCCGAATCTCTCTGTCAGGCACAAACCCTCCCTTTCCCCCCCTCTCTGTTTGCTCATGAGCAGGAAAAACATCCCGGGCCGGGCGTGGAGCTCGGGGGGAATGCCAAGATACCCAAACCAGCCCAAACCCCCGGGTCAGCCCAAAACACTGCCCTGGGAAGGCAGAACGGGGCTCAGGGCTGCTCACAGTGACCCTTGTGGGGCTGGGGCATGGGATGGGCAGATTGGAGTGGCCAGAAGAGGTTTTGGGGATGTGGGATTTGCCCTGCAGGATTTTGTGCTGCCCCAACCCTCCAGGGGCTCAGAACGGGCGCTGGCAGAGGGGACGGGTGGGTGACAAACCCAGCTGGGTGCCGGGTGGCTGTTTCAGGTGAAATAACACCTGTCCCTGCGGTTGCAGGTGGATTTCGGGGTGGAGCAGCTCGGGGAGATGCAGTTGGTTAAAGGGTAACTGCAGCTCCGCCGGGTCAGGATGATCCCGTCCCTGCCGGGGGGGAGGAGGAGGAAGAGGAGGAGGAGTCCGAGCCCTCCTGGCACCGGGACAGCACCAAAAAGCTGCATTTTTGTGGCTGCCCCGCTCGCTTTACTCTCTCCTCGCTGGGCAGCGCCCACCCTGCGGTGCCAGCGGGGCTGACCCGGCTCCACGGCCAGCAACGAGCTCTCATCACCCTCCTCTCCCTCCTCCTCCTCCTCCTTTTCCTCACCTCAGGGGTTGCTGGGTTTACTCTTGGGGTTCTCCTGGCTCTGTTGGGGTTTCCCTTCTCTCAGAGCTCCCTGGACCCTGCGTGCCCGAGCCCCCCTTGGCATCATCTGTGCCACATCTGGGAGGGTCTCACCCATCCCAGCGGGCTCCAGCTGGGGGCTGACCCCAGGGAGGGGTCGGGAGGGTCGGGCTGCCCCGGATTTTGGACGAGCTCCTTCCCCCTGACCCCGGGGAAGGCTCTGCCTCGCACGGGGCCAAACGCGCTGGCCCCGGGCCAGGGACTCACTTTGTGCTCGGCTTTTGGAAGCCCCGCTGGAAGCCCCGGGGCTAAGAGCCGGCCAGATGCTCGCCCGAGCCTTGGGGGGCTCATCAGCGCCGGATCCCTCCCCTCCTGCACCCCGGCGGGGGAATTCGGAATGGCAAAATGACATTCCCTGGACGCATCCTGCCTGGCTCAGGATCCTCCTCCCGGTGCTTGGACACCGTTTTCCCATTAAAAGGTGCCCTCGCGCATCCCCGCTGCTCCTTGGGGAGCTTCCCTGGCCCATCCCACCGCGGGAATGCCGGTTCTTAGCGGGAGCGTGTCCCGGCCTCGGCAGCCTCCCAGGTGACTCATGTCCACTCTGTCAGAATCCCTTTTTTTTTAATTTATTTTTTTTTATTTTCAGCAAATTTTTAACGGAGGAATGTTCGCCCAGAGTATCAGTTTAATAAAAAGAACACTCCGCGTTCCTGCCGAGCGTGTAATCCTGGGATTAAAGATGCTGAAAGTGCCTTGAGATCGTTAACTAATTAAGACTTCCAGGCTGGCAGGTCACTGTCTCTAATCGTGCCCGGTGGAGCAGGGGCAGCAGGGCCGAGTGAAGGGAGAGGCTCCCGTGCTGTTTTCTTCAGTGCTGAAAATAAACCCGGCAGGTCAGGGTTTCCTCAGAGACCTCCAGCAGTAAAACTGGAGGATTTGAGGGTTTAAAGTGCCCAGAAGAATGGAGCCTTTCTGCCTCCGTGGGAGCTGGGGATGTGCTGAGGGTCAGGGCTTCGCCCCCTGAGCCCCACCCGTGGGTTGGCGTCCTCAGCCCTCGGTGGTTTTTGCTCCCAGGCACATCCCAAGGGTTTGTTCTGCCCTGGCCCCCCTCAAAATAACAGAACAGAAACCAAAACTGCCCCCGAGTGACACCAGGGCTGGGCTGGGGCTTTGCATGTCCCCTGTGGTGCTGCAGCTGCTCTGGATTTTCCTCTTTCCCTCTTTCCCTGCCCACCCAAGGCTCTGCAACAACCTGGGAATGTCCCTGGCTGCTTCCCTGCTGTCAGAACCCAAGGAAAAGGTGTTTGGATGGCCCCAAACCCCCTGGTTTGCAAAGCCCAGGCAGCCCAGTCTGGCCACAACTCGTGGCTTTGGGGTTTTTCCAACCTTCCAGGTCTTTGCTAATGGTTTTGAAGCTCCTGCTGCCACCAGGCAAATTGCTTTTCTCTCTTTGTGTGAAATGTGAGGCCGTGAGGAGCCCAGGGGTGTCAGAGCCCGGTGCCAGCCCACGCCTCCTCACCAAGGACGCGGCAGCTCGGGGTCCCCGGGGTCCCCATCCGTCAGCAGCGAGGCCAAATTCCTCCCTGCGAGCGAAAGGAATTCTCCCCTCCTCCCGAGAGCGGCTGGGCTGAGGGAAGGGAGCTGGAGCTGCGGGTGGGATGGATCTGCTCAGGTTTTTCCCTTTGTGGAGCAGCGCGTCCATCCCCGGCGATTTTCGGGTTTTTTGGGCGCCGGGGACACCGAGAGTCCCTCGGGGGCGGCGGGGACAGCGCGGGCTCCGCTTTCCTTTGCCACCTCTCGCTGCTCCAGGCTGTCCCCGTCCTCCTGCCCCGGGGACAGAGCTGTCCCACCACGGATTGTCCCTTCAGGGGGGCACTGCAGGCCGTTGTCGCACCTCCCGCAGATGGGGACACGCTTCCCGCTGGCTCTGCCGGGCAGGAGCAGAGCTGCTGCCGCTGCTGCGGCTCCCCGGGGCTGGGCAAAGCGGGCGAGCGGGTACAGCCTGTCGTGCTGGAGCTCCCGGTTCCCTCCGGAGCCCAGCACGCAGCTCCCAGCACAGGGAGCCCCTCGGGCGATGCTCAGCCCCTCTGATCCCCCTGCCGGGCTCTGCTTTGCTGCTCTCCCTAACTCCGAAAGGCAACGTCCCACACACCCCAAAATCAGCCCCCAGCAGCCAAGGCCAAGCCTGAGGGATTTTTTGCTCAACGCTGGGAAAACAGAAGTGGGCAGGGAGGAGACACGGAGCCTTGATCTGATGGGCAGAGCCTGCAGCTCTGATCAGATAATAATTAATAACCGGGTTTGGGGGGCCCTGCCACCTCCATGCACAGCACCTGCACCCTCCGTGTCCCCGTGGGAAGAGTTCCCAGCCAGGGAAGGAGAACTGGTGAATGGAGCTGAACTCCTCCCGTTTCTGCTGGATTGAGGGTGCAACAACAGAGCTCTGTGTGCAGGGGGGAGAGCTGGGCAGGGCAGGGTCCCCCCTGGCACAGCTCACCCTGCAAAGGGCCTGCAGTGACTGCCATGATCCTCCTCTGGTCCTTCACTGCTGTGCCAGCCCTGTGTGCTCGGGACAGGGCATGGAAAACACCCAGGGAAGTGGAAAACACACAGTGGGAACTCACAGAAGGGGGGTTCAGCTCCTGAGGAATGTTTATGGGTGGGAAACAGGAGGTGCAGCATGGATTTGTCCCTCTGGGCCAGGTGATGGTGGCAGAACCACTCTGCCCACTCAGCCCCGCTGCCAGCCCACCGTTCCTGACCCTGCTCCCTCTTCTTGTCCCCTCAGGCTGGTGGACGATCGGTGCGTGGTGGAGCCGGCGGCCGGAGACCTGGACAACCCCCCCAAGAAATTCCGAGGTGAGGCTGGGGCAGCTCCATCACTCCTGGAGCAGCGTCGGGGCCAGCCCTGAGCATCCACAGCAGGGACGGGATGGGATCCATGGGATGGGATCCATGGGATGGGATCCAGGGGATGGGATGGGATGGGATCCATGGGATGGGATGGGATGGGATCCATGGGATGGGATGGGATCCATGGGACGGGATGGGATGGGATGGGATGGGATGGGATCCATGGGATGGGATGGGATCCATGGGATGGGATCAGGGCACAGCTCTGCCCTGTGCTGCACCCACCTGGGAGTTGCTGCCCCAAGCGCCCAGGGTGCTCCACACTCAGGGAAGGGCCCTATCCTGGCAGGACTGGAGTGCCTGGATCACACGGCCAGGGAGTCGAGAGCTGGGAGATGTCCCCAAACCCGTGACTGAGGTGTTGGTTTAGGGCAGCTGCTCCTTTCATCCCCCCATTGTCATTTTATCTCTTTTTTAAAATATCAGCTCCCCACTCTGCCTTGTGCCTCCACCTTTTTCTCAGGGTGGCTTTAACAGCACCCATCCCCCTGACCACCCTCCTTTCCCCCACACCCCAAATTGTCTCAAGACATCAATTCTTCCACTCTCTCAGGATCCCACCAAGCAATGACCTGCCTCTCCACGGGAGTTATTACCATTAATTTATCCACGACTCTAATTAACAACCCATCCAGCATCTCCAGCACCCCCCAGCAGCTCCATCCCCACATTCCACCCAGGGCTGGATGCTCAGCATCCACCCCATCCCTCTGCCTGCCCGTGCACGTGGGTCCAATCTCTTTTCCAGGCGTGGATTCTTTTGGGCTCAGCCCTGCTCCCTATCAGGATATCCAGCTGTTTGTTTTAATGGCCGGAAAGGTAGAGCTCTCCCTGCTCGATAGCCATCGCCTGCAGCGAGGTGGAAACAACGGGCTGGGGCTGCTCCCTGGCCCGGAGGCTGCAGGAGATTTTCGAGCTCTGTCGCCGTCCCCACATCCTGTGGCCGGACCCTGCCCTATCCTGAGCCACACACGGGTCGTGCCGGGGCTTCCCGCTGGGAAAACGGGGCCCTCCCGCCGGGGTCAGCTCCGAAAGGTTCTTTGGAAATGCCAGAACCCACCTGGGAGCTGTTCCTGCCCGGCTCTGCCTCCCAGAGACGCTGCACGCCTCTCAGTTATTTGCTTTTGATTCCTTGTGGTTTCTCCCCCTGCCGAGGCTCTTCCCAGCCCAGCTCAGGCACGGCAGGACAAACTTCCACCCTCCCAGGCAAGGGGACAGCGGGACCCTCAGCTGGGTCACTGCTGTCCCTAGTTCCCAAAGGGGTCACCTGGAGGTTTTACCCTCCAAAGCCTCTCTGGGTGGAAGTTTTGCCCCCAAAACCACTCTAGATAGGAAGTTTGGCCCCCAGACCTCTCTGGATGGGAAGTTTTGTCCCTCAGGCCTCTCTGGATGGGAAGTTTTGCCCTGCAAGTCTCTCTGGATGGAAAGTTTTGTCCCCAAAGCCGCTCTAGATAGGAAGTTTGGCCCCCCAGACCTCTCTGGGTGGGAGGTTTTGCCCCCAAAGCCTCTGAATAGGAAGTTTTGCCCTCCGGGCCTCTCTGAATGGGAAGTTTTACCCCCCAGATCTCTCTGGATGGGAAGTTTTGCCCCACAAGTCTCTCTGGATGGGAAGTTTTGCCCCCCAGGCCTCTCTGGGTGGGATGTTTTGCCCCCAAAGCCTCTGAATAGGAAGTTTTGCCCCCCAAATCTCTCTGGATGGGAAGTTTTACCTCTCTGGTGGGAGGTTTTGCCCCCCTGACTCTGGGTCCTGGCAGGTCAGCCGCACATTACCCTCTGGGCCCTGCTGGTGCAGGAGCTCCCTCCACCTCCCCTCTTTTCCACCCCAATCCATTTTCAGAAATCTGGCGGTACCAAAGCCTCCAGCTCCCAACACAAGCCGTGCTGGAGATTTTCTGCACACAACCCCCGCCGTGCCTCAGTTTCCCTCCTCACAAAGCTGGGCTCAGCACTGAGCCACACTCTGAGCCAGGCCTTGCATTTGCAGCCATTTCAGAGTCGCTGAGCTGGGATTTTTTATTTTTTTTTTACCTCCCCTTGGCTTCTCCTTCCCAGCATCACCTTTCCCAGCAGCTCCCATTAATTCCCCATTCACGGAGCCCCGTGCAGGTGCTCGGGGGAGGCTGCCCCGGCCCCGAGGGCTGCTCTGGCTGCCTGGCACGGGATGTGCCGCTGGCAAACGGGGCTGGGAAACGAGATGTGAAAGCTGGCCCTGCCCCAGCAGCCCCGGCCGGTGAGAACCGCGCTCGGCGCGGCCCCAGCGGCACTCCCAGGTAAATAAATACACACTTGGGCCCGCCGCCAGCCAGGGAAGGGACTTTTGTTTTTGGTTTTTTTGGGGTTTTTTAAATTTTATTTTTTGTCTCTGAACTTTCTGGGCTGCTATTTCAGGCATAATTAGGGCGATTGAGGCTGCAGAGCCCTTCCTGCCCTCGCCCTGCGCAGCCTCCAGCCCGGGAAGGGGGCTGGGAGATGTGAGGGCCTCGTTGTCTCCAGACATCTGCTCTCCTGCTTCAGCTCCCCAGGCCTGGCCCTGGATGTCTGCGCTTCCCGCCCACCATCCTGGGGGAAAACAGGCAAATCGGGGCGATCTGCAGTGCAGGGAGGCTTTGGAGGAGCTGGGATGCATCCTGTGCATCCTTCAGGATCTTGAAATAGAGCTGCTGACGCGGGGGTTTCGGGAGCGGGCGCTCGCAGCATCCAGCACTGGTGATCCAGGTCACGGAGGGACGGGCATGTGTGCCCCGGTGGCACGGCCACCACAGGCTCCTGCCACAGCTTCTGCAGGCTCAGGGTGTCCCCTGGGTGACAAGGGACGTGGAGGTGGCTGCTGGTGTCCCAGCCTCCCTCCTGCCGGGTTCCTCTCCCCGTTTGGTGCAGCTGGGCTCCATCAGAGCTCCTTCTCCCCCCCGAAGCTTTCCTTCCCGACCAGCACAGCCATTTCCGATGGGAACACTTCTAATCACGAGTCCAAGAAGTGCAGTAATTCCTGGACTCATTATTTATCCTGATTTAAAGCCGACCCAGCCGCCAGCACACGCTGACGTGACCTCCACCAGTCCCCGCCGTGCTCCCTCGCTCACGGGGGGACCACACTCCCTTCCAGGACTGTCCCTGCCCCTCGGTGACACTGGCCCTGTTGGGGACACCCCGGTGGCGGCTGCAGCCTCATCAGGCTCTGCTCTGTTCCCAGATTGCCTGTTCAAAGTGTGTCCCATGAACCGCTACTCTGCCCAGAAGCAGTACTGGAAGGCCAAGCAAACCAAGCAGGACAAGGACAAGATCGCCGACGTGGTGCTGCTGCAGAAGCTCCAGGTGAGCAGGAGCCAGGAGCCCAGAGCTGGCAGTGCCCACGAGCTGGCTGGGTGATGGCATCCAGACCTCCGGTGAGGCTGGTTTGGGATGAGAAGGGATTTCCAGCTGTGTTTTCCCCCTTTGTCCCCTGCCCAGCCATTGCTGTGTCACCCTCCTGATGTTTCTTGTGCAGAGGTGATGTGGCAGAGGAGCTCTGTGAGCACAGCCCTGCACCCTGGGGCACCCCAGGACACCCCAGGATACCCTTCAGCACCCCAGGGCACCCCTCACCACCTCAGGACAGTCCTCAACACCCCAGAGCACACTTCAGCATTTCGGGACACCCAGGGCACCCCAGAGCACCTTTCAGCACCTCAGGGCACCCCTCAGCACCCCAGAACACTCCAGGACACCCCTTAGCACTTCAGGACACCCCAGGGCACTCCAGGATACCCTTCAGTACCCCAGGACACCCCTCAGCACCTCAGGACACCCTTCAGCACCCCAGGGCACCCCTCAGCACCCCAGGGCGCCCCTCAGCACCTCAGGACACCCCTCAGCAACCCAGGACACCCCAGGGCACCCCAGGACACCCCTCAGCACCCCAGGACACCCCTCAGCACCTCAGGACACCCCTCAGCAACCCAGGACCCCCCAGGGCCCCCCAGGGCACCCCTCAGCACCCCAGGACACCCCTCAGCACCCCAGGACACCCCAGGGCACTTCAGGACACCCTTCAGCACCCCAGGGCACCCCTCAGCACCCCAGGGCGCCCCTCAGCACCCCAGGACACCCCTCAGCACCTCAGGACACCCCTCAGCACCCCAGGGCACCCCTCAGCACCCCGGGACACCCATGCAGGAGGGAGCCCTGCTTCCAGGACTTGCTCCAGAGGGCTGGGGAAGGGAAAGGCTCCCGTTGGCTTCCCCCAGCCTTGGCCAGGGCCCACATCAAACATTGCACAACGGCCTGAGGCAGCTGGCGAGGCCCCGCCGATGATTCATAAAAGCGAGGCTGGGGAGAGATTTCACTAAATCATCTCATCGGGCCTCCAGCCCAGCCCCAGCCCCGCCATCCCCAGCTCTGCCTCGGGCAGGGGGGGCTGAGCAGTGCCAGGACGGGCTGTCCTGCCCTGGAGGTGCCAGGGCAGGGTCAGTGCCCGCCCCGTGCCCAGCCCTGCGCGGTCACGGGCACACAGAGCCCCCATTTTCCTGCTGCCCTTGTAACGCCACAGCTGTCCTGGCCACGAGTGGCCCCAGAGGCTCATTTCTGAGCCTGATTGATTGCACCTTGGTTAGGGCTTGTCTTAAAGAGATTCTGCCATTTCCTGGCTCCTTGCTGCTGCTCCTGGTGTTTCCCTTCGCGGCCGGGGCTCAGCCCAGCCCAGCCGAGCTCTGCAGGCACCGGGCTGCAGGGAGGATGAGAAACAGCCTGGGAACATCCCCCAGCCCACGGGGATGATTCCTGAGGGGAGAGCAGCCAGGTCTGGGCTGGGGGAGCCCTGCCTGCAGTGCCTTTCTGACCTCATGCCCCTCACTGCTGTGCTTCAGTGGGTTTAAACTCTGTTTTCTTGGCCTAAAGCAGCTCAGACAGGCTGGAGAAGCTTTCCAGCCCCTCTGCTGGTGTCCCCCAGTGCCCCCCGATCCCTTGTGGGCATCCCTGACACCCCATCCCTGGGTTTGGGGACAGACCCTCCCTATGCAGGGGACATCAGCCCCAGGAACTCAAGAGCTTGGGGCAGCCAGTGCCAGTGCCACCCCCCCGGCTGCTGGCTCGGATCTGGGGGGAGATTTAGGATATTTGGGGGGCTGGATCTCCCATCAGAGCCGTGTTGCTCCCTGGGGTTGTTGTTAAACTCCCAGAGCAGCACCAGTGCGGGATTTCTTGGAGCGGGTTTGTTCTCCTGATGGCAGCAGCCACCACTGCAGGGTGGTGAGGGTGACCCTGGGTGGCACCCAGAGCTCTGTGGGCATGGAGGGGTCACCCTGGGTGGCACCCAGAGCTCTGTGGGCACATTCAGAGCCCTCACCTCCTTGGGCACTCAGGACCTGCAGCCCCATCCTCCCTCCCAGTGCCAAGCCGTGATTCCAGATGTTTCCCAACTCCTCTGCCCTCAGGAGAAAGGGGTGGGAGAAGGATGGGAAAGGGCAGAGGCTCTCCCAGCTCCATCCCTCGCTGTTTTCCACCTTCCCATCTCAATTTTGGGGGATCCCTGGGCTGGAGCTGCCCGGGCCATGCCCAGCCTGGCGCCGGGGCTGTCGGCGCTCCCTTGCCATTCCCAGATTTGCTGTGGGAGCAAGTTCCTGCCTCTCTCCTGGGGATGTGTCAACATCCCGTCACTGCTCCCACTGCCAGAGCCAGCGAGTGGAAAATCTCTGTGGTTTTGGAGAGGGGCTGCTGAGCCTTCACTCCTGGGGACACATCCTGCAGCAGCAGGTCCAGGCCTGCTCCATCTCTGGGCACGGCACCGCTGGCACGCCGCCTTTGGCTGCTTGGCTTTGGTGCTGCCAACAGCCCCCAGTGCACAAATCCCCTCTTTTGGGTGTTTGACCCCCATCCCCAGCCTGAACCCAGCACCCTTGTTTGGTGTTATGCCAAAAGCTGCTGTCCCAGGGGAATTTTGGTGCCATTTTGTCCCTGTCCTAGTTTTTAAAGTCCTGGATTTAAAGCCCTCATGGCCTGCCTAGGGTTGGTCAAGGTCAGACCTTGGCCCTGGGCTGAGCTCGTGGGTGCTCCCTGCTGTGGCCTGGGGGACAGAGGGGGGCTGACCCTGCTCCCAGCCCGTCCCACCCTTCCCAAAGCCAAGGCTGTGAGTGACCCTGCTGGGATTTGCTCCTGGGGAGGGAGGAGGCTGCTGCTCCACCCTCAGCCCTTCTCCCTTTGGAGCAGCACGCGGCCCAGATGGAGCAGAAGCAGAACGAGACGGAGAACAAGAAGGTGCACGGGGACGTGGTGAAGTACGGGAGCGTCATCCAGGTACGGGGGCAGCGGGGATCCAGCACGGGTCCAATGCTAGTCCAACATGGGTCCAACATGGATCCAGCACAGGTCCAGCACAGATCCAGCATGGATCCAGCAAGGGTCCAACATGGATCCAATGCTAGTCCGACATGGATCCAACGGGAATCCTGCATGGATCCAGCACAGATCCAGCATGGGTCCAGCACGGGTCCAACACGGGTCCAGCATGGGTCCAACAGGAATCCAGCACAGATCCAGCACGGGTCCAGCACGGGTCCAACACGGATCCAGCACGGGTCCAGCACAGGTCCAACATGGATCCAACATGAATCCATCACATATCCAACACAAATCCAACACAGATCCAATATGAATCCAGCACGGGTCCAACATGGATCCAGCAAAGGTCCAGCACAGGTTCAGCACAGGTCCAACAGAGATCCAGCATGGATCCAGCACAGATCCAGCACAGGTCCAATGTGGATCCAATGTTAGTTCAACACAGGCCCAGCACAGATCCAGCACGGGTCCAGCACAGATCCAGCACAGATCCAGCACGGGTCCAGCACATCTGGGAAGGGGCTGGTGGTGCCTTGAGGGCTGCACTTCTCATCTCTCCCACCCTTGTCTCCTCCAGCTGCTGCACATGAAGAGCAACAAGTACCTGACGGTGAACAAGCGTCTGCCGGCGCTGCTGGAGAAGAACGCCATGCGGGTGACCCTGGATGCCACCGGCAACGAGGGCTCCTGGCTCTTCATCCAGCCCTTCTGGAAGCTCAGGAGCAACGGGGACAACGTGAGCGTGGGGCCCAGCAGTCCCTGAAGGGGTGTGCAGAGAGCTCTGTGCCTGGGCTGGGCTCCACCCCGAGGTCTCATCCTCGCTGCCCTTTTCCCATTTTGCTCCCCAGGTAGTCGTGGGAGACAAAGTCATCCTGAACCCCGTGAACGCCGGGCAGCCGCTGCACGCCAGCAACTACGAGCTGGCTGACAATGCTGGCTGCAAGGAGGTACAGGAGGGGCTGGGCCTTTTTTCCTTCTTTTTTCTTTTTTTTTCTCTGTCCTGGGGTCGTGACCGCGCTCTCTTGCTCTGTAGGTGAACTCGGTCAATTGTAACACCAGCTGGAAAATCAACCTGTTCATGCAGTTCTGCGACCACATGGAGGAAGTGCTGAAGGGGGTAAGGAAGGAGCTTTGGCTGCATGGACCCGACAGGCTCTGAGGGACAGGACGTGTGAGCAGCCACCTGGCTCTGTGACAAGGGCACAAAAGAGCTCCTGCCTTGAGGGCTGTAATTCCGGCTTGAATTCCTCACCTGGAGAACAGCACAGTGAGGCGGAGTGGGATATTTTAGGATCTGCTGGCAGCAGAGAGCTGAGGGCACAAATTACCAACCTCAGGGTGTTAAATTGACTTTTGGGGACAACCCCACGCAGTGCCAGCAGTGGCTTCTTGTGTGGGGACAATTCCAGCTGCTCAGCCGTGCAGCAGGGTGGCTGTTGCCTGGGAAAGGAACTTTCCCTGCTGAGCCATTGTTCGGGGCTGAGGTCCTCCAGGAAGCAGCTGGATGGATGTGGATTGTTAGGATCTTACAGCCCTTCATCCCCAGGCACTGTGCTTGTCCCAGCTTCCCACATCCTCCTTCCCAGAGTGTTAATGCCTTAAACACATCCAGGAGTGGAGCCTCTGCCTGCTCCAGGGCTGGAAAGTGATGGATTCACATCCCTTTATCCCCTGGGGGTGGAAGCAGAGGGTCACTGCAGGGTTAAAGGCAGTGATGGCAACGCAGGGTGCCTGTGCCCATCCCCTGGGCTCACAGGAGCATTTGAACTACCTGGGGCAGGTTTCAGCAGAGCTCCAGGAGGCTGAGTGGGAAGAGGTGACAGTGCCCTGTGGTCCCCAGGGTCCCACCATCCTGCCATGCAGGTGGGAGCTGTGTCCAGGAGGAATCCTGTCCCCTTTGCAGCATGAGGGGTCACAAGAGGAGATGCATTGCAGGACAGTCATGGAGAAATTTCTCCACTGGCTGAGTGTTTAAACATAGGAACAGGCTCCCCAGGACAGTCACCTTCCCTGGGAGTGTTCCAAAATGAGTAAACCAACACTTCAGGACACAGTTTGGTGGGCATGGTGGTGAAAGATTGGATTTCATGATCTTGAAAATACAGTTTGGTGGGCATGGTGGTGAAAGATTGGATTTCATGACCTTGGAGGTCTTTTCCAACCTGAAAGGCTCCAGGATTCTTTGACCCTGGGCCTCACGCCTGTGTCCTGGTGCAGGGGGATGTGGTGAGGCTGTTCCACGCCGAGCAGGAGAAGTTCCTCACCTGTGATGAGTACAAGGGCAAGCTGCACGTCTTCCTGCGCACCACCCTGCGCCAGTCGGCCACCTCGGCCACCAGCTCCAACGCCCTGTGGGAGGTGGAGGTGAGCAGGGAGGGCATGCAGGGCGTGTTTGGGCTGTCCCAGGCCCTGCTGCGCTGGGCTGAGCCCTCCCCTGCCTCTCCCAGGTGGTTCACCACGACCCGTGCCGCGGGGGAGCCGGGCACTGGAATGGCTTGTACCGCTTCAAGCACCTCGCCACGGGCAACTACCTGGCAGCAGAGGTAAGGGGGTGGCAGAGGGGTGCAGGAACGTGCCCTGGGGCTGTGGCACCCCTTGCAAAGGCAGTGCCCACCTCGGGCAGCCCAGCGTTTCCTCTGGTCCTCTCCGGTTTGCTCTGGGAGCCCTTGTGACACCTCCTTGCTGGCAGGAGGTGTTGGCACCTGACCATCATCATTTATCTGGTTTAGGACCAAAGTTTCCCCCTTGAAATCCCCCAGTGGAGGGGTTTACTTGCTCAGATGGCTGGGTTTGGTTCCTTTTCTGGCCCAGGGGAACAGCAGGGGGTGTCTGGGGTGTTTCTGTGCTCAGCCCATGCCAAGGGACTGACTGGCACAGCCTGGTGTGCTGGAAGTGGGATGTGACTCATCCTGCCGTCCTTGCCTGGCAGAGGGTGGGGGCAGAATCTGGGTCTGGAGGCACCATCTGCCAGGTTTTTCTTCTCCTTTTTAAGGCCAGCTCAAGGCCTCCTGATAGAGGCACGATTGCTGCACTTGGGTACTGGGGTGTGTCTGGCACTGCCAGGGCAGCAGGGACCTCCTGGGGATGCTCCCAAACTCCCAGGACCCTTCCCTCACTGCAGGATGGAAACCAGCAAACACTGGGGCTCTGAAATGGGTGCTGCAAACCCAAAGACACTCTGTTAACACTTGAAGACAAAAGATCTCAGGCTGAGCCCATCCTGGGCTGGTGCTGCTCACTGGGAGCTCAGCCTGGAGCCTCCAGGGAGTTCTTGATGCCACACAGAGCCCAGGTTGGCTCCCCTGAGCTCCCCCATCCTCCTCCCAGGGCTGGGACACCGTGCACTGGGCACAGGTCACATCCTCCAGCCCCACCCGGGCAGGTTTTCCCTCTGATGTGTTCAGGGAAGGCAGGGATAGGGATCACACACCATCCCCAGGGGTTTGGAGGGACCGAGCAGGAGGACTGACAGCTGCTTTTCATCTCCCTCTTTAACTTTTCAGGAAAACCCAAGTTATAAAGGAGACGTGGCTGAGCCCAAAGCAGCGCCCACGGTGAGCAGAGCTGCTGCTGCTGCTGCCCCAACCATGCCAGCTCTCAGCCAGGGCCTGAAAGCAGGGAAATGCCCCAAAACAGAGCCCTCTGAGGGGACTACAGCCGAGTTTGTCCCACTGTGCCAGCCCAGCACCCCCTGCCCTGCACTCAGAGCAGCATCCTGCCTGTGAGGGGGCCCTGCCAAAACCTCCCAGAGGGGTCCCAGTGCATGTTGGCTCCCCAGGCCACAGGGAAATGCTTGGGAGATGAGGGAGCTGGATGTTCAGGGGGGTTTTTCTGTGCTGTTGGTGAGGTTTGGATCGGGGGAGCCTCGTAGCTCAGGTGCATCCACGCCGCTTGCGCTCCGCTCGTGCGAGGCTCGGCCCCAGCAAAGCTTCTGCTGCATCCCCTCGATGCCATGGGGGGCAGGAGACCCCCGAGCCGGGCTCAGAGACCCCCTCCCCACCGTGCAGGGCGGCAGCAGCCGTGCCAGCCGCAGGAACACCGGGGAGAAGATCAAGTACAGGCTGGTGGCCGTGCCCCACGGCAACGACATCGCCTCCCTCTTCGAGCTGGACCCCACCACGCTGCAGAAGACTGATTCCTTCGTCCCACGGTACGGCAGCAGGCTCAGGGTGAGGGAGAGGCTGAGTGCTGAGGGAAGGGCAGCGCTGGCGTGTCCCCGTGGGGGTCACCCAGCAGGACGTTGTGCTGTTGGCAGGAACTCCTATGTGAGGCTGCGCCACCTCTGCACCAACACCTGGATCCAGAGCACCAACGTGCCCATCGACATCGATGAGGAGAGGCCCATCCGCCTCATGGTGCGGCCCTGCTCCCTCCTCCCTCCTCCCTCCTCCCTCCCTGGGCTTCTTCCCTGCTCCCTGGGAGCTCTCAGGCTGCTCCTTCCCTCCCAGCACCCAGGGATAAAACACCCGGGATGATCCAAAGGGGTGGGTGGACACCAGCCTGGAGCCCACCCCAGTCAGCCAAAGCCCACTCCAGCCCCTCTGATGGGGACAAAGTGGGACACTGATGTCAGCAGGGCTGGTGGCAGATGGTGGGGACACACCTGGCATGGCCCTGTCTGTGTGATGCTGCTTCTCTGTTGCTTCCCAGCTGGGCACGTGCCCCACCAAAGAGGACAAAGAAGCTTTTGCCATCGTCTCCGTGCCCGTGTCCGAGATCCGGGACCTGGACTTTGCCAACGACGCCAGCTCCATGCTGGCCAACGTGGTGGAGAAGATGAACGAGGGTTTCCTCAGCCAGAACGACCGGAGGTAAAAGGCCCCTGGGAGATGGGGCCGTGCTGGGCTCCTCCAAGGGCTCCCCAGCAGGACGGGGCCCCTGCCTGATGCTGGTGCCAGCGCTGCCCTTGCTTCCCTGCCCACAACCCCAATCCACGCCTGCTTCTCCCAGAAGCCTGGCGAGGAAACCAGATAACGGCACAGCCCCGCTCTGGCCCCTCCTAGAAAAATATCCTAGAAAAATATCCCAGAAAAATATCCTAGAAAAATATCCGAGGGGCTGGGAGATGGCCCCACGATAGGGGCAGCCGCCTTAGTCACTGTATTATTTTTAGGTGGGTGGGTTCTTGGTGCTTCCTGAGCAAACACAGATCCCTGTGGGACAGAGCGAGCGGCTTCCGCCCTGCCAGCCTGGCCCACGGGGGTGACCACAGGGGCAGAGGCGTTAAATGCAGAATCCCTGGTGTTAGCCACAAGCAAAGCCCCCCAGACACTCACCCTGGCACGTACGGGAGCCATAGGGGCTGCAGATCCAGCCACTGACCTCCTCAGGGAGTGCAGGATCAGCCAGCAGCTCCCCTGGCAGGTTTCTGAGGCTCTTTGGTCCCCAAAACCCACCAGCACCACTGCAGGGACCTGAGTCTGGGCAGTGAGCAGCCCCCAGCCCACTCACCCCATGTCCCTTTGCAGGTTCGTGATCCAGCTGCTGGAGGACTTGGTGTTTTTTGTCAGTGATGTCCCCAACAATGGCCAGAACGTGCTGGACATCGTGGTGACCAAGCCCAACCGGGAGCGGCAGAAGCTGATGCGGGAGCAGAACATCCTGAAGCAGGTGGGTGGCCCTGGGGCCCTGCATCCCAGCAAGGCTGGGACGTGTCCCGTGGAGATGTCCTGTCCTGCTCAGGGCCACTCTGGGGGCCAGAGGGATGGAAAACACCACGGGGGAGGGTCTGGCCTCCAGCCCATGCCATGGTGCCCAGCCGTGCACAGGGAGCTGGTGTGGAGCAGGACTCAGCCTGATCTCTGCTTTTGGGCAGATCTTTGGGATCCTGAAGGCCCCTTTCAAGGACAAGGGCGGGGAAGGGCCCCTGGTGAGGCTGGAAGAGCTGTCGGACCAGAAGAACGCTCCCTACCAATACATGTTCCGCCTGTGCTACCGCGTGCTCCGGCATTCCCAGGAGGATTACCGCAAGAACCAGGTGGGTGGTAATCCTGGGGGGTGACTGGGGGGTGACTCCCCCTCCCCGTGGAGCCTCGGGGTGGCAGGGGGACATCGCTCACACCCCATCTGCCCGCTGCAGGAGCACATCGCCAAGCAGTTCGGAATGATGCAGTCCCAGATCGGCTACGACATCCTGGCCGAGGACACCATCACGGCCCTGCTGCACAACAACCGCAAGCTGCTGGAGAAGCACATCACCAAGACCGAGGTGGAGACCTTCGTCAGCCTGGTGCGCAAGAACCGCGAGCCACGGTGCGTGGGGGGCTCCGCGGGGTGAGAGGGCGACGGGAGCCGCGGGGAGCCCCCCTCTGATGGCAGAGCTGCCTCTCCCCCGGCAGGTTTTTGGATTATCTCTCGGATCTCTGCGTGTCCAACCACATCGCCATCCCCGTCACGCAGGAGCTGATCTGCAAGTGCGTGCTGGACTCCAAGAACAGCGACATCCTCATCAAAACTGAGTGAGTGGCTGAGGGAGAGGTTTTCCACGTCAGGGGTTTGTTGTGAGTTGTTGTCAGGCACCCACCAAAGCCTCTCACTCTGCAGCTGGAGAGAGGAGAGAAAAATTATTGAAGGGTTCATTGGTTGGGATAAGAACCAGGAGAAATTTCTCATCAAATACAATCACAGGTGAAACAGGCTCTAGTTAGGGGTATGAATTAAGTTTATTCTTAACTAAATCAGAGCAGGATAATGAGAAGTTAAATAAAACCCTTACACCTTTTCCCCACCCTACAAGAAACCCACCACAGGATGGGCCTGGTCCCACTGAAGCTCCATCACCTCTTGAGGTGCAGCCCCTCCATCCATCTCCAGATTTCCCCTTTCCTGTCCCAGGCTGAGGCCAGTGAAGGAGATGTCCCAGACCCACGAGTACCTGAGCATTGAGTACTCAGAGGAGGAGGTCTGGCTCACCTGGACGGACAAGAACAACGACCACCACGAGAAAAGCATCCGGCAGCTGGCACAGGAGGCCCGGGCTGGCAATGCCCACGATGAAAACGTCCTCAGCTACTACAGGTGATGCTCCTGTGGCACCTCCTCTCCAGGTGAGGCTGTGAGGGATGCACGGCCTCACTCCCTCTCCCCCTCACCCCTGGGCAGGTACCAGCTGAAGCTCTTTGCCCGCATGTGCCTGGACCGCCAGTACCTGGCCATCAAGGAGATCTCCCAGCAGCTGGGGGTGGACCTGATCTTCCTGTGCATGGCAGATGAGATGCTGCCCTTCGACCTGCGCGCCTCCTTCTGCCACCTCATGCTGCACGTGCACGTGGACAGGGACCCCCAGGAGCTGGTGATGCCCGTGAAGTTTGCACGGCTCTGGACGGAGATCCCCACAGCCATCACCATCAAAGAGTGAGACACGCCAGGGCTTGGGATGGCTCTGAGGGCCAGGGCAGGACAGGGGGTGGCAGATGCCGTGGAAGGGGAGTGTTTGTGGAGTGACCTGGGTGGGTTTGAGCCCTCAGAAGGAAGTGGGCTCCATGTGTCACAGCATCACTGCTGGTCATGGTGGCTCAGGCACCGACTGGACAGCTCTCCTGCCAGCTGGGTGTGAGTACACCCGCTGTCCCCAGCTCACCCCCACGTGTCCCCTTGCAGCTACGACTCCAACCTCAACGTCTCCCGTGATGACAAGAAGAACAAGTTTGCCAGCACCATGGAGTTTGTGGAAGACTATCTCAACAACGTGGTGAGCGAGGCCGTGCCCTTCGCCAATGAGGAGAAGAACAAGCTCACCTTCGAGGTGCGGCACCTTGCAGGGTGTGACACAGTCTGGTGCCGCTGTCCCTGCGATGTCCCTGTCCCCCACCAGGGATTCTCCTGCTCAGCCCCGAGCAGGGCGAGGTCTGGAGCTGCCTTGTCCTTCCCCAGGTCGTCAGCCTTGCCCACAACCTCATCTACTTCGGCTTCTACAGCTTCAGCGAGCTGCTGCGCCTGACACGGACCCTGCTGGGCATCATCGACTGCGTCCAGAACCCTCAGCTGATGATGCAGGCTGTCTACAACGACGAGGTGACAGGTGAGTCCCTGTTCATGGCCAGGGAGGTGTTTTCCATGGTCTGCCCAGTGCTTTCTAGTTTTGGTGACAAGAAAAGCAGACACTGGCTTGCTGGTGTGGCTGTGTGTGCAGCAGGACGTGGGGTGGTGAGCCCTTGGCTATGCCAAAAGAAATATTTGCTGCCTTCTGCTCATTCTCTGATTAAATCTAGAGAATTTTCCAATCCAAATGGGTCTTTCCTTGGTCCTCTGCCATCTCCCTCTCCACCCACTCTAACTGTGGCTGCCTCTGCAGGGAAGAACGTGCGGAGGTCGATCCAGGGCGTGGGGCAGATGATGTCCACCATGGTGCTGAGCAGGAAACAGTCCATCTTCAGCCCCCCCAGCCTCAGCACTGGCTCTGCCCCGGAGCAAGTGGACAGAGGGAGGAGCATTGAGAACGAGAACATCGTGGTGATGGAGACCAAGCTGAAGATCCTGGAGATCTTGCAGGTTGGAGCCGAAGGAGTGGTGGGACCTGTGGGAGGGGGGTGTGTAATGTGATTTTCTCAGGCAGGGGCACAGCTGGCGTGAAGAGGGCACTCAGTCACTTCTGGTTTCTCCCTCCCTGGTGCTTCCAGTTCATCCTGAACGTGCGGCTGGACTACAGGATCTCCTACCTGCTCTCTGTCTTCAAGAAGGAGTTTGTGGAGGTTTACCCCATGCAGGACAGTGCAGCTGATGGGACAGCTCCAGCCTTTGACTCCACAAGTAACTCTCCCACTTTGCTCCTGGTACACCCCCAGCTCAGCAAACCCCAGGGGCTGGGAGGACACAGGTGGCAGAGGTGACATCTCCAGCAGAGGTGACATCTCCAGCCGAAGTGACATCTCCAGCAGCTGCTGCTGGCAGGGGGCAGGGAGGAATGGAGTCCGTGTTTTGGTGGGAACAGGATCAGGGAGCTGGGTTGGTTCCTGTGGGTTCCTGCCAAGACACAGGGCTGGCATTGTCCACCCTTGTCACTCCCTTCCTCTCCCTGCAGCTGCAGCCATGAACCTGGACCGGATCGGGGAGCACGCTGAAGCCATGTTTGGTGTGGGGTGAGTCCCTCCCCTCACAGCTCCCCTGGCCATAGGGCCCTTCCCCTTCTGTCCATCCTGCCCAGGGCGGGAGCTGCAGGTGATGAGCAGGATGAGGCTCTAAAGGCCCTGAAGCTGTCCCCATCAGCCCCTGAGCTCCGTGTTAATGCCCAGAATTTCCATCCCGCTCCAGGAAATCGAGCAGCATGTTGGAGGTGGATGACGAGGGAGGGAGGATGTTCCTGAGGGTGCTGATCCACCTGACCATGCACGACTACCCCCCACTCATCTCCGGCTCCCTGCAGCTCCTCTTCAAGCACTTCAGCCAGAGGCAGGAGGTCCTGCACACCTTCAAGCAGGTGATGCTGAGGGGACCTGGAGATCCCACGCCTGGCTGTGGGTGGGGACGTGGTGTGGATCCTGGCCCTTTCCTTGGGAGGGAGAACTGGGAGTGGGATTTGTGCCCCAAACTGGAAACCCCTGGGAATGTCTCTGCAGGTCCAGCTCCTGATCTCAGCCCAGGATGTGGAGAACTACAAAGTGATCAAGTCAGAGCTGGACAAGCTCCGCACGATGGTGGAGAAATCGGAGCTCTGGGTGGACAAGAAGGGCAGCACCAAAGGGGACAGCACAGGGGAGGGGAACAAGAAGGAGAAGAAGGAGGTGAGAACCCTGAGCAAGGCACTGGGATCCAGGGTGGGGAAGGAGTGGGAGGCAGGGGGGCAGCTCACCTTTAATCCAGCACCTGATGCCTCTCGATGGGCTCAATGGGGAGGCTCCAGAGGGTCCTGTGGGGTGTGGCTGGAGTGGCACAGTGTGACCCCAGTGCTGTCGTGTCCCCTTCAGCACGGTGCCGACGAGGAGGTCATTGCTCCAGGAGAGAAGAGCAGTGAGAACTACCAGATAGTGAAGGGGGTGAGTGACATCAATCCCCTGGGCACTGACAGGAAGGAAAGGGGCAAAATCCAGGGGGGGATTTCCAAGTTCTGCTGTTCTTCAGTAGAAACAAGTCCAAGCCTGGCTTGCTCTTGCCAGCTCGGCACAGGGAAAAGTTGTCACATCCTTGCACTGGGGGGACTGGAGTGGACTGGGTGGGTGACAGCTGTGAGGGCTGTGCATGGAGGATCCCTGAGGGGGGCTGAGATTTGTGAGCAAAGCAGGGAACATCCAAGATTACAGAGGGAACACCTGGAATGCAAACCAGCCCCAGTGCTGGTGGCCATCCTGAGTGGCTCCAGGCTCACCCTGCCCACCGTGGTCCCTCTGCCCCCAGATCCTGGAGCGGCTCAACAAGATGTGTGGGGTGGGGGAGCAGGTGCGCAAGAAGCAGCAGCGCCTGCTGAAGAACATGGACGCCCACAAGGTGATGCTGGACCTGCTGCAGATCCCCTATGAGAAGGTGGGTGGACAGGAACCAGCTGGTCCTGAGTGCCCAGGGCAAAGGGGGCACACAGGAACCCCCCTGAGTGGCCTCCTGCCACTCCCATCCCTCTCAGCTCCGTGTGTTTCTCCTCTGCTCCTTCCTCAGGGGGATGCCAAGATGATGGAGATCCTCAAGTTCACCCACCAGTTCCTGCAGAAGTTTTGTGCTGGCAACCAGGAGAACCAGGCCCTGCTGCACAAACACCTCAACCTGTTCCTGACCCCGGGGGTAAGGAGAGGACACGGAGGGGCAGCAGCACAGGGAGGGAATTCAGCACCACTCCTGGCACTCAGAGCACGAGATGGAAAAGCCAGGAGGAGACACCAGGCAGGACAAGAGTTGGGGACAGTTCCTGCAGCCCCCTGGCCTCACTCTGCCCCTTGTCCCCAGCTGCTGGAGGCAGAGACCATGCAGCACATCTTCCTCAACAACTACCAGCTGTGCTCGGAGATCAACGAGACGGTGCCGCAGCACTTCATCCACTGCGTGGCCACCCACGGCCGCCACGTCCAGTACCTCGACTTCCTGCACACCATCATCAAGGCCGAGGGCAAGTACGTCAAGAAGTGCCAGGACATGATCATGACTGAGGTGAGGACCTCTCCTGCAGGGCAGGAGTGGGGGGGAAGCAGGACAAGGCTCTTGGAGCCTGCACCGTTGGCTTCTTTCTTGAGAAGAGCCTTCCAGCCGTGCTGGATCCTCCCTGGAACCAGCCAGCCCCAGTGCTGGTGGCCATCTTGAGTGGCCATCAGTCATCTCCAGGGGCTCAATGCAAGGCCCAAGAGTCAGTTTGGGAGTCCCACAATTTTTGATTGCACTGCAAATGCCTGGTTTTCTCTGTAGGCACAAATCCCTGTCTCCCTTCTCACCCACTGCTGCTCATCCCCACTGCACAGGGGACACCTTTGGCCTTGGAGGCTTCTGACCTTCCCCTTTCAGAGTGGTGACCACTGAGCACTGAGCACTGACCCTTCCCTGCAGCTCACCAACGCCGGGGATGACGTGGTGGTTTTCTACAACGACAAGGCTTCGCTGGCCACCCTGCTGGAGATGATGACAGCAGCCAGGGATGGGGTGGAGGAGAACAGCCCCCTGATGTACCACATCTCCCTGGTGGACCTGCTGGCTGCCTGCGCCGAGGGCAAGAACGTCTACACCGAGATCAAGTGCACGTCCCTGCTGCCCCTGGAGGACGTGGTGCGGGTGGTGACACACGAGGACTGCATCACGGAGGTACGGGGTGGCAGCCAGGAGGACACTGGGGCTCTGCACTGATTGTCCCCTGACGGTGTCCCTGGCCATTTCCCCCTCCCTGACAGGTGAAGATGGCCTATGTGAACTTTGTCAACCACTGCTATGTGGACACGGAGGTGGAGATGAAGGAGATCTACACCAGCAACCACATCTGGACCCTCTTTGAGAATTTCACCCTGGACATGGCCCAGGTGTGTGGGGAGGGTTGGATGGGAGGGACACAACAGTGGTGGCTTGGATGGGGACAGGGTGGTGTCACCAAGGCTCCCTTGAAGCCTCCTGCAGGGCATGGATACACATGTGGGGCCCCACATAGCTGCCATACTTGGGGCTGGGGAGTGGTGAGGCTCTTTGCCCTGACCACAGAAGCTGTGTCACCGGCCACGTCCCTCAGCTCAGTGTGGTCCCAGCAGCCTCTGGGCAGACACGAGCTGGCCCTGGTGCCATCAGCGTCCTCCCTGTCCTGACAGATGTGCAAGAAGAGGGAGAAGCGCCTGCCGGACGCCACGCTGGAGAAGTACGTGCTGACGGTGGTGCTGGACACCATCAACGCGTTCTTCAGCTCGCCCTTCTCGGAGAACAGCACCTCCCTGCAGGTGACAAGGGTGGGCAGGGTGCCAGGGGGAGCACAGCGGCTCAGCCAGGCCCCCAGAGCACGGTGTGGATGCGTGTGCTGACGCTCCTGTCTCCTCCAGACCCACCAGACCATCGTGGTGCAGCTCCTCCAGTCCACCATGAGGCTGCTGGAGTGTCCCTGGCTGCAGCAGCAGCACAAGAGCTCGGTGGAGTCCTGCATCCGCACGCTGGCCATGGTTGGTAAGGAGCCACTGCCGTGCCCAGGGGACAGGGCCACCCTGGGCTGTCTCTGCCCAGCAGCGAGCAGGACACTCTGTGGGGGTGGCAGGACTCCTCAGTGAGGGGCTGCCAGCTGGGGATGGGGACATTCAGCTCCAGGATGGGCTTTTTTTTGAGCTTCAGCTCACCCAAGGTAATGTGGGGATAAGCAGAGCCTGGGCTTGGCTGGGAGCTCCCTGTGTGTCCCTGCCCGGACACAAAGCCAACATTGACAGTGGTTTTCCCTGGCCAGGACTTTGCCCTCGGTGTGCAGCTGCCTGACTCAGGCTGAGGGCTGTTAGCACTGAGTCACCGTGGAAAGGATTGCTGCTGGCTGGGCTCTGGGTGGGGATTTCCCTTTGGAATTCCAGGCAGGGTGCTCGCAGCCTCCCCACGCTGGGCTTTCCCAACCAAAAACTGGGGCTGGGGCCAGTTTCCACCCTGCGTGGGGCTGTGGGTGTTGGGATGTGTGGGAACACTCCACCCATGTTGGCCTGGAGGAGTTTACTGGTGTATTTACAAAAAATCTCTGCTGCAAATGAGGTGAACGCTGGCGAAGGGATGCCCAGACAGGGTGGTGGGACCCATCTGGGTGGTGGCTGTGCCAACCCCATCCCCGTGTCCCGCAGCCAAGAGCCGCTCCATCGCTCTGCCCATGGACCTGGACGCCCACGTGAGCTCCCTGCTCAACAGCAGCTCCACCAGCACGGTGCAGAGGAACACCTCGAGCTACAAGGCAGCCACACGCACCTTCCCCCGCGTGTCCACCACCCCCAACCAGTGGGACTACAAGAACATCATCGAGAAGCTGCAGGTGCAGGGCAGGGCGTGGCGGGGCTCAGGTGGCAGGGGGACGCTGGCGTTGCAGGGTCCCTCTCCCGTGTGTCCCCTGGCTCTGAAAGGGGTGCTGTGCCTTGCAGGACATCATCAACGCCCTGGAGGATCGCCTGAAGCCGCTGGTGGAGGCTGAGCTGTCCGTGCTGGTGGATGTCCTGCACCGGCCCGAGCTGCTCTTCATGGAGGGCACGGAGGCGTTCCAGCGATGCGAGAGCGGCGGGTTCCTGTCCAAGTGAGGCTGGTTTGGGGCTGCCCTGGGGGTCCTGGGAAGGGTTTGGGACCCTCTTCCTGGCTGGGCTGCAGCCTGGAGGGTGGTGGCTCCCCCTGGGATTCCTGGGTCCCTCCCAGCTGTGTGACAATGGCTTTGCCGTGCCAGGCTGGTGCAGCACACCAAGGACCTCATGGAGACAGAGGAGAAGCTCTGCATCAAGGTGCTGAGGACACTGCAGCAGATGCTGGTGAAGAGGAACAAGTATGGAGAGAGGGTGAGCACCATGATCTGTGTCCATCCAGCTGGCAGAGCCCACCCTGGGCACCCAGGGGTGCTCAGCTGGTCCTGCCCTGGCCCCAGCCGTGGCATGGGGACACTGGTGACATTTGTGTGCCTTGGCAGGGCAACCTGCTGCGGAAAATGCTCATGAACAACTACCTGCAGAACAAGAGGTCCAGCTCCAAGGGGGAGATGGGGGATGCTGCTGGGGGAGGTGAGTGCCCCTCTCCTGCCCCTTCCCCTCCAATTCCCAGCTCCCAGACACTGATGGGACCAGGTCTGTGGCTGATTGCTGTGTCCCCAGCTGCACAGGAGCAGAGGATTTGGGGAGGTGAAGGGATGAGATGCCCTGGCAGTGGTGGAGCTGTGCTGCCACAGCATCACGTCCCTCCTGCCCTCTCACACAGGCCAGGACCAGGACTGGTCGGCCATCGCCGCTGTCCAGTGCCGGCTGGACCGCGAAGGGGCCACCAAGCTGGTGGCTGACCTCATCATGAACACCAAGAACGAGAAGATCTTCCAGGAGAGCATCCTGCTGGCCATCCGCCTGCTGGATGGAGGCAACACCGAGATCCAGGTGCTGAGGGGGGTCAGGCAGCCAGGGGCTGATGTGGGCAGTGTGAGGGTCCAGTGCTCAGCCCCGGGCAGTGGGTTTGGCTAAAACACCTGTTTGTTTGTTTGTTTGTGCTGAAATCTGATTTGAGTTTCCCAGCTCCATGGCTGGAGGAAAGGCTGGAGGCTGTGGGAAGAGCAGGTGGTTCCAGGTTGTTTCTGGAGTTCTGCTGATGCCCTCTGCTGGGAATTCCTAAAATGGCTCAGGGCTGCAGGGCTGGTGGGGGACCTCCAGGGTTATCCCAAACCCTTTGTCACTGAGAAGATGAAAATTGGTGTGTGCAAAACCCATTGAGGCTTCAGCAAAAAACCAGGTTATCCTGAGCAATGCCTGGAGTGCTGAGGCTGCTGCCCAGAGGGACAGGCAGGGACACTTTGGACCCCGTGGTGGGGACCTGAACGAGTGTCCTTCCACCAGAAATCCTTTTACAACCTCATGACGAGCGACAAGAAGTCCGAGAAGTTCTTCAAGGTCCTGCACGACCGGATGAAGAAAGCCCAGCAGGAGACCAAGTCCACGGTGTCGGTGAACATGAGCGACATCGGGAACAAACCCCGCGAGGACAAGGACGAGCCAGACCCTGGCACCAAAGGTAGGGGCGGTGTCCCCTTGTCCCCTCAGGACGGCCAGCACTGGCTCGGTGACAGCCTGAGCTGAGGAGGGGACACTTCCCTCCAGGACGAGGAGACACCTTCCTGATGCCCGGCACCCCCACGCGGTACCCGATGGCCGTGGGGTTCCGGAAGGGCCACGACCCCGGGGAGCAGGGCCAGAACAACGAGATGGGGGTGACGGTGCTGATCATGGAGCCCATCCTGCGCTTCCTGCAGCTGCTCTGCGAGAACCACAACCGCGACCTGCAGGTTGGTGCTGGGGCTCTGGGGTTCTGGGGGTCAGCTCTGGGGTTGGGCTGGGGGAAAGTTGGGGTCTGCCCCAGTTTGGCCCCAAAATGCTGTGGCACCCTGCAGCTCTGTGCCTCAGTTTCCACATGTGCAGTGCAACATCCAGCTTGGGGTTGTGGGAGGAGTTCACAGCAGGAGTGGATGTGGGACTGAGGTTTGAGGTTACAGGGGCAGTCCCAGCCCAAATGTCCCTCAAACTGCAGCTGGGGGGGTGTGGGGAGAGAGGGATCAGGACCTGGGCTCTGCTCCACAGAACTTCCTGCGGTGCCAGAACAACAAAACCAACTACAACCTGGTGTGTGAGACGCTGCAGTTCCTGGACATCATGTGTGGCAGCACCACGGGCGGGCTGGGGCTGCTCGGCCTCTACATCAACGAGTACAACGTGGCTCTGATCACCCAGACCCTGGAGACCCTGACCGAGTACTGCCAGGGGCCCTGCCACGAGAACCAGGTGCCCCCAACCTCATCACAGGCCAGGGGAGCTTTTTGGGGGGATGTGGGGGGAGCAGGGACAGGTTTTGGGTTCAGAGTGAGAGCAGGAGCAGAACATGGGCAGCACAGGTCACAGGGCTCCTGCACAGGTCACCAGCTGCTGCTTGGCTGCAAAATGGGGTGATGCAGATGGGGGGTAAATAATTCAGTGGTGTGCACGGGGTCCTTTGCAGGGAAGGGGAGGTTTGGGGGCCCAGGGCTGCAGGCAGGGCAGTGTTTCAGCCCAGGAGCTGGGAGGATTGGCAGGATCTGTGGGGTAACACACTGCTCTACTCCCCCAGAGCTGCATCGTGACCCACGAGTCCAACGGGATCGACATCATCACAGCCCTGATCCTAAACGACATCAGCCCCCTCTGCAAGTACCGGATGGACCTGGTGCTGCAGCTGAAGGTGCACAGAGGCCTGGCCTGGGGTGGTGGGGACATGTCTGTGTGTCACTGCGTGTGTCACTGCGTGTGTCACTGTGTCACTGCGTGTGTCACTGCAAGGACTCACTGGCAGGGTCACGGGGTGTGCTGTGGGCTGAGGTTGGCACTGTAGAGGGGACCCTGCCTGTGTCAGAGCCTGGGTGTGGGACCAGATGGGCTCAGTGGGGCAGGGCTGGGGCATCACCACGCTCAGATGCCCCTGGCACAAGGGAGTTGGCGGGGACACAGGATAATTCTGCCCACCCCAAAGGCCTGGGCAGTGGCAGGGCACAGCTCCCCTCACCAAGGGCTTCTCCTCACCAGGACAATGCCTCCAAGCTCCTCCTGGCCCTGATGGAGAGCAGGCACGACAGCGAAAACGCCGAGCGGATCCTCATCAGCCTCCGTCCCCAGGAACTGGTGAGGGAACTGGGAATGTCCCCCTGAGCTCTGAGCCCCCAGCTGGACATCCTCTGCCCTGGGCTGTGCTGCAGTTTCTGCCTCCCCTGCCCAAATCCTGGCTGGAGAAGGAAGCAGGGAGGAGCCCAGTGTCCCTGTGGCCCCTTGCAGGTGGATGTCATTAAGAAGGCCTACCTGCAGGAGGAGGAGTGTGAGAATGCTGAGGTGTCCCCCCGGGAAGTTGGACACAACATTTATATCCTGGCACTGCAGGTAGGGAGCTGTAAAAGCATCCTGCCAGGCTGTGCTCGCAGGTTGTACTTTTCCCTCCATAATTATGCACATTTTCCTCCAGCCACATTGGCCTCCCTGGGGAGCCAAATGTGCCTTTGGCTGTGGGGAGCAGCCACGGCACATCCTGTGCCCCATGTCCCCTCCCGTGTGTGCTGGTGGCTGCCTGCCATCCTGTGCTCACTGTCACCACCCTGTCCCCCTCCCAGCTCTCCCGACACAACAAGTCTCTGCAGCAGCTCCTGAAGCCGGTGAAGCGAATCCAGGAGGAGGAGGAGGAGGGAATCTCATCCATGGTATGGAGAGGCACAGCCCCCACAAGCCGCCCTGATCCGAGGATGTAAAAATCATGGAGAGCTCACCTTTGGGCTTTGTTGTTCAGGATTTGATGGATTTTGGTGCTCCGCAGGGGATTAAAGAGGGAGAGACACTAAATACCCTTTTAGCCAGAGGTAGAAGCCCAAAAGTGTGTGTCACCTTGTGGGTGACACGGGCTGGTGGCCCTGGGGGGGTCCTGCCCTTTCCCACTTCCCCCCTTCTCTTCAGAAGGGAAGGGCCGAGTCCTTTACTGCTGTTCCTTGCCCAGGTACCTCAGATCCCGACAAGATTCAGCAGGAATGTGATTTCCCCGGGGGTTTTGTGAGCACTGGTTTGTAATTTGTGGATTAGCAGCACTTGGATGTAATTATTGCAGGGAATCGATTGTCTGTCACCGCGGGGAGCACTCGCACCTCTCACGGAAGCTTTAATTCATTTGCTTTTCCCTGAAAACCTCATCAGCTGTGGGAGATGTTGAGGCACGTTGTGGGAACAGTCGGATCCAGCTTCTGGCTGGATCCTCAGCCTCTCCCTTTCCCTCTCCCCATCCAGCTCAGCCTTAACAACAAGCAGCTGTCGCAGATGCTGAAGTCCACAGCTCCAGTGCAGGAGGAAGAGGAGGATCCACTGGCTTACTACGAGAAGCACACGTCCCAAATCGAGGCAGGACCTCCTGGCTGTTGGCTCTCCAGCCTGCCCATGGCCCGTGAATCCCCCCTGGCCCCAGATGCCTCATGTCCGATTATTTTGCACCAGGAGCTGCCCCCTCTTCCCACCCCCATTAGCTCCGGGACTGAGGGATGAGCAGCCCCCTGGACCCTGCCCTTCTCTCCCAGCAGCAGTGGGATGCAGCTGGTCCAGCAGCCTCATCCTTGGCATGGATCCCCCATTCCCACACTCCCACTTACTCCAGCCAGGGCTGCCTCTGCTCAGGGGCACTTTGGAAGCTTTTAAATGAGGGGCTGACAATATTTGGACCCTGTGGAGTGGGAGGGAGGAGGGGAAGGCACAGCTGGATGTGGGAAGGAGGAAAAAAACCACAGCAGGGCAGGATCTGAGGGCTCTGCATCCTGCAGATCGTGCGGCTGGACCGGAGCATGGAGCAGATCATCTTCCCTGTGCCTGGCATCTGCGAGTTCCTCACCAAGGAGACCAAGTACAGGCTCTTCACCACCACGGAGCAGGACGAGCAGGGCAGCAAAGTCAGCGACTTCTTCGACCAGTCCTCCTTCCTGCACAACGAGATGGAGTGGCAGAAGAAGCTGCGCAGTAAGAGCAAGGCAGAGCCTCCCCCGGGCTGCCCCGCTGGGAATCTGGGGACATTCCTGCAGGGAAAGGGCTGCACACTTGGCAATGGCATGGCTGAGCTGCCCGAGCTCTGCAGAGCACCACACACCTGGCAGAGAGCAGGGAGGGAGGGTTAAAATCCCAGCCGTGGGGCTCCTCTGTGCTCTCAGGGCGGTTTCTCCACAGCCTGAGGGGCACCTTGCTCACATTCCCTGCTATTCCAGCTGAGCTGTTTTCCCTGGAAAGCCCTTCCAGTTGCCTTCCCCTAAGCCAGGGTCTTGTAGCTGCACATGGGAAATAAAAGCTGTTTCTCTGCCCCCCAGGGGCATCCAGGGTGGAAATCCTGGCTGTAAATCCTGGGAACTGAGGAGAGGGTCACACTGTGGATACTGGGATGCAACTGAGGAGCAGTGTAGGATCTGTGAGGGAGGACAGAGCCAACCTGATCCCAGGGCCTCAGAGCGGGTTTCCAGAGGGCTGGGAGACCAAGGAATGTGAGCAGAGCCACTTAGAAGGTGCAGTCCTCTAAGAGACAAGCAGGAATGTTTTCAAAACACTTCATGAATGGTTTGAAGAATGTGGGAGGCTGGGTTGGTCTGGGGGCAGCAGCTGCAGAGCCCACAGGGCTCTGGGATGGCACAGAGGCTCTGGGATGGCACAGGGGCTCCAGGAGGGCACAGGGGCTCCAGGAGGACCCGGTTGGCACGAGGCTGGCTGAGGTTTGTGTGTTGCCTCCTCTCCCCCCAGGCATGCCGCTGATGTACTGGTTCTCCCGCAGAATGACGCTCTGGGGAAGCATTTCCTTCAACCTGGCTGTCTTCATCAACATCATCATTGCTTTCTTCTACCCCTACGTGGAAGCCACTTCCATGGGTAAGTGCCCAAGCACTTGCTGCTCCTCGGGGTGGAAGGAGCAGGTCCTTGGGCTGGATAAAGGCAGATCCTTGGGCTCCTACGACCCCAGGGCCTTTCTGCTGGATAAAGGATTAATCAGGATTTCAGTTTCCAGCCCTCCCAACCCTTCCTTCTCAGGGAAACCTCTCTTCTCCTGGGCTGCCCTTCCCCTGTTTGTACAATGTGGGGAGCAGGGATGGGACACATTCCTCTTGTCAGGCAAAGCCTCCATCACCTACAGTGGCTCTGAGCTCTTGGATAAAAGATGTTAGAAAATGTATCAGCAAAAACCATCTGAACCAACACAAACCCTGCAGTGCAGCATCACCATTTCTGATCAAGAGCTCATTCGTGTGGCTGCAGCAGTGCCCCTGCCTTTAGCATCCGTGTGTTCCTCCTGCCAGGAGTGCTGGATTCCCCACTGATCTCGCTGCTCTTCTGGATCCTGATCTGCTTCTCCATCATGGCCCTGTTCACCAAGCGCTACGGGGTGCGGCCGCTGCTGGTGGCGCTGATCCTGCGCTCCATCTACTACCTGGGCATCGGGCTCACCCTCAACATCCTGGGGGCTCTCAATGTGAGTTCTCCACCTGCTGGGGATCAGGAAGCTGTCCCCTGTTCCCAGAGCACAGCAAACCCCTCTCCCTCCCGTTTCTGGCTGTCCCCAGCTGACCAACAAGATCGTGTTCGTGGTGAGCTTCGTGGGCAACCGAGGCACCTTCATCCGTGGCTACAAGGCCATGATCATGGATGTGGAATTCCTGTACCACGTGGGCTACATCGTGACCAGTGTCCTGGGGCTCTTCGTGCACGAGCTCTTCTACAGCATCCTGGTATGATAAATTCAGGTGCCAGGGGGCACAGGCAGCCCGGCTGCTGCTTGAGGAGCTGGAAGGTTCCTGTGACACCTCCCAGGGGCTGATTGATAGCGGAGAGAACAATTCCCTGTGCTCTAATCTGTGCATGGGCTGAGCTTTCTGCCTCCTGACAGTATCTATTGCTGTCTCTTTCTTGGTCCTGGGCTGTATCTCTTCCTCTAATCTGCTGTGTGCTTTATCTGGGTCAGCTGGGAGGCAACGTGAGCTGGCGAGGGCAGAGCCAGGGTACATGTGGCCTATTCTTGGCTCTCCTGCTGTGTATAAGTCACTCCATTCTTCCCTTCAGTAAGCTGGGAAACTTAAAGGCTTTGTGAGAAAAGTTAGTCAAGGTCTGCTGAGCGATCCAAGATCTCAGGATAAAAGGGGATCTAGATAGGCCAGGCATTATCAAGAGAAGCACCCTGCAGCATTTCTTTGCTCCTGGGTCCTTTCAGCTGTTTGACTTGATCTACCGTGAGGAGACCTTGTTTAATGTCATCAAAAGCGTGACGCGGAACGGGCGCTCCATCCTGCTGACAGCCCTGCTGGCCCTCATCCTCGTCTACCTCTTCTCCATCGTGGGCTTCCTCTTCCTGAAGGATGACTTCATCCTCGAGGTGGACCGGCTGCCGGACAGCAAAGCCAAAGGTTGGGCAGTGCTCGGGGTCGTGGGACACTCCACACACGTCTCAGGGTGTGCTGTGTGGGATTCTACACTGGGAGCACTGGTTTTGGGGTCGCAGACAGGACAGCTCTGTGCCCGTGCTGCACAGAGCAGGGTTTGGGGTTAGTGGTGGCAGAGAAGGAGGCACAGAGCTATGAAGGGTCAGCTCTGTGAGGTCTCAACTCTGAGAAAAAGCTTCAGGGCCTAGAAAAAGTAGGAGGATATGAGGCAAGTTTTTCCCAGGAAGGTTGGCATCTTCCTGGTAGCCCATGGCAGTGGTTTGCTGGGGAGAGGTGCTGCTCTCACAGCGCTGGGGTCTCTTCCTTGCAGATGATCCCTTGGGGATGCAAAAGAATGTGGAAACCTTCGTGGAGTCGTGCAGCAGTGACAAAATCAGCTGCTCTGCTGCACCCACTGCCTTGGAAGGTAAGAGAGCCCTGTGGAAATGCCAGCTGTGTGTGGCAGCGTGGATTTGCCAGCCAGCTGAGGAAAATCCCAGCTTTTCCAAGGCAGAAACTCAATCTGCTTCCTGGGACGTATTGGGCAAGAGGCTGTGAATTTTGCACTGACCCTGGCATAAAAAATGTTGGGGTGGATTGATTTAATCAGAAAGGAGGTGGGAGCTGCAGCAGCATTTGGCTGCTGGAGGAGCTGCTGGCTGGGACATCACAACAGGCAGCTGCTGCTGTGTCACTGCCACTGCAACTGGAACCATGCCACTGCCAGGGTCTGGTGCCCTGCCTGTGCTCTGAGTCCCTGCCCTGCTCTCCTCCCCAGAAGCTGACCCGGAGCAGTGGGAACGTGCCTGTGACACGCTGCTGATGTGCATTGTCACCGTCCTCAACCACGGCCTGCGCAACGGCGGCGGCGTGGGGGACATCCTGAGGAAACCCTCCAAGGATGTGAGTGGGGACAGCACCCGGGACTTCCTTCTTCTGCCAAACCCTGCTGCAGTCACTGCTGGCCCCTCTCCCTGGGAGCTGCAACACATCCAGCTCCATCTCTCACGTTCTCCTCCTCCCCTGTGCCTCAGCCACAGCTGTGTCACAGGGCTGGAGCAGAGCTGTGCAAGACACCCAATTCTCCCTCTCATCCATTGCAGGAGTCCCTGTTCCCTGCCCGAGTTGTCTACGACCTCCTCTTCTTCTTCATTGTCATTATCATTGTCCTCAACCTCATCTTTGGGGTCATTATTGACACCTTTGCTGATCTGAGGAGCGAGAAACAGAAGAAGGAAGAGATCCTGAAGACCACCTGTTTTATTTGTGGTGAGCACTGGGAACACAGGAATTGCCCCAAAGCTCTTCCTCCCCTCCCAGGCTGGGGGAAGGAAAAAAATTTCAGCTGGATTCTGGTTTTTATGTATCCCTGCAAAACTTGAATCTGTTCATTGAGGGGTCACTGCACTGGGAGGGGTTCAAACAAGGACACAGCTGGAGGGAAATTCTCAGAGTTCTTCCTCACCCTGCTAATGAGGTGTTAAACTAAAACCACATTGTGGGATTGTTGTCGCTGTGCATTTCACTGCTGAGACCTTCCCTTGGCCAGTGGGGGAAAAAAAGCAGCATATCACTGGAGAAATAGAATAGAAAAAATGCTCTGGAATCCTTTCAGTCAGCAATAGGCATTAAAAAAAAAAACAAACAAGAAAACGCCAGTAAATCTCTCTGCTTTTTTCCTCTAAAGATCTTCTGGGTTTATTTTACTGGGCAGAGGCAGAGCCAACAGAACATGGGAAGAAATTGTTCCCTGTGAGGGTGGTGGGGCCCTGGCACAGGGTGCCCAGAGAAGCTGTGGCTGCCCCATCCCTGGAAGTGTCAAAGGCCAGCTTGGACAGGGCTTGGAGCACCCTGGGATAGGGGAAGAGGGTGGAAGATCCCTTCCAACCCAAACCATTCCATGATTCTCTGATTCTGGGATGTTAAACAGAAGTCTCCTGAGCCCCCAGCTGGGTTGTTGCCCCTGGTTTGGATGTTTGTGTGCTAAATGCCAACTAATTATTAAAAGCACTTAAATGTCACCTTTGGGCTGAATTTCCTCCTCACTCACCTCCTCCCTTCTCCATCTGCTCCCTGTCCTCCTCCACCCTTCCCTGCCTTTCCCAGGGCTGGAAAGGGACAAGTTTGACAACAAGACCGTGTCCTTTGAGGAGCACATCAAATACGAGCACAACATGTGGAACTACCTGTACTTCATCGTGCTGGTGAGGGTGAAGAACAAGACTGACTACACCGGCCCCGAGAGCTACGTGGCACAGATGATCAAGGTACAGGTGCCCTCAGGGCAGCTCCTGGGCTATCCCAACCTGCCTGCCCCGGGAACAAGGGGCTGGCCAAGGAAAAACAGCTCTGGGAAGTCCTTTTGGAAAATATTGGCTAATGGTGCAGGCACAGGGTGCCCAGAGAAGCTGTGGCTGCCCCATCCCTGGAAGTGTCAAAGGCCAGCTTGGACAGGGCTTGGAGCACCCTGGGATAGGGGAAGAGGGTGGAAGATCCCTTCCAACCCAAACCATTCCATGCTTCTCTGATTCTGGGATGTTAAACAGAAGTCTCCTGAGCCCCCAGCTGGGTTGTTGCCCCTGGTTTGGATGTTTGTGTGCTAAATGCCAACTAATTATTAAAAGCACTTAAATGTCACCTTTGGGAAGGGATGCACTGGGCTGAATTTCCTCGATTCTGCTCATCTCCCTTCTCCATCTGCTCCCTGTCCTCCTCCACCCTTCCCTGCCTTTCCCAGGGCTGGAAAGGGACAAGTTTGACAACAAGACCGTGTCCTTTGAGGAGCACATCAAATACGAGCACAACATGTGGAACTACCTGTACTTCATCGTGCTGGTGAGGGTGAAGAACAAGACTGACTACACCGGCCCCGAGAGCTACGTGGCACAGATGATCAAGGTACAGGTGCCCTCAGGGCAGCTCCTGGGCTATCCCAACCTGCCTGCCCCGGGAACAAGGGGCTGGCCAAGGAAAAACAGCTCTGGGAAGTCCTTTTGGAAAATATTGGCTAATGGTGCAGTGCCTGAGTTCGTTCATTGCTGGTTTTTCCCACGTGGTGTTTGAGAGTTTGTCCCATGGGTTGAAGGGTTGAACCAAGCACAGAGTGGGGCTTCAGTGAGGTTTCTAGGCAAGGGAGGAAAAGGAAAGCAAGGAAAGAAAAACTTCTGCACTTGAGCCCATGAACCAACCTAGAAATGGACCATGCACGGAAAAATTGCAGATTTTTGCAAAGAAAATTTCTTTAATCCCAAAGCATAGAGAGGCTGCCTGTTCAAATCTATCTCCCCTCCTCCTCTCTGACCCCTCACCCCAACTGCCCTTGTCCATGGTCACGTTCCCAGAACAAGAACCTGGACTGGTTCCCCCGGATGCGAGCCATGTCTCTGGTCAGCAATGAAGGGGAAGGGGAGCAGAACGAGATCCGCAATCTGCAGGACAAACTCAACACCACCATGAAGCTTGTGTCCCACCTCACCTCCCAGCTGAACGAGCTGAAGGAACAGGTATGGGAAATGGGAAATCCCCTGTCCTTCCCAAAATAGCCACTGAGAGCAAGGAATGGGAGAAAGGACCTGCCCAAGGCAGCACAAAGGCAAGCACAGGGCTCCTGCAGCTCTTTTTTGGGGGAATTGGGGACACTGGGGACACGTGGGTTTGGGAAGTGCCTCACCAGCTCAGAGTTTGCTGGCAGAGGCTCAAAGCAGCACAGTCAGACACTTGTGAAGCACATCCAAGAGCAGGAGGGCCTGGGATTGCCTCAGCGTGTCCTTGTTGAATGGCAGATGACGGAGCAGCGGAAGCGCCGGCAGAGGATGGGGTTTGTGGATGTCCAGAACACCATGAACCACTGAGGCAGCTCCAGCCACCGAGGGACTGCACCGCTGCCAGCTGAGGAGGCTGCTCCTCCCCGGGCTCCAGGCGTGGATTGTCACTGTCTGGGGAAAATGGACCACGTGGAAAGGGCTTCCCAGGCAGCATCTCCCTTAGAGCTTGTAAGCAATCCCAGGAGCAGGGACTGGCCAGAGTCCACCCCACACCTGGGCCCAGGTGTTTTACACCCTCGTAGGAAGATAAACCATACAGGACTTTCATTCCTCATTGCAATAACTCTTTTATTTTGCAACTGTGGAGGGTTGTATCTTTATCTCCATGTGCTCCAGCCCCTTGGCTGTGGGGTAAGTAGCTGTAGGGCCGCACTATTTAACTTATTCTGAGTGCCACTTGTCCCTGTGGGTATCTGCCAAGCAGCCCTCGTTATCTGCTGTGCCTGCTCCACGCTGACCCCTCTCCATTTACAGAATTCTCTCCATCCTGTGGTGCAGCAAAGAGCAGCTGAACTCAAGGAGGTGGATTTAATTTAATTAACTTGCCAGATGAGGAGCTGAGCTTGTCCTAGTGGGAACTAAAAGTCTTTTGCCTTCTGTGGACCAAGGATCTTTGGGAAGCAGTAGTAGGAGCCTGCAGGTTTACAGGAGTTCACTGTGAAGGGGTGTCCTGTGTTTTAGTTTCATCTCTGGTGTCATGTTTTACCTTTTTTTTGTTTTGGTTTTTTTTAGTTGTTATCATTGTTACTTAAGAACTGAAGTGTAAATTGCCTTAACTAAATTAAATACAGAATCATGTTATAATAAAACCTTCAACGTGGTAAAGAAAGTCCCCTCCCTGTGCCCTCTGGTGTGTGATAGGGCTTTGGGACAGAACCCAAAGCAGGGGTGGCACCCAGGGTGCTCCCAGCTCCAGGTGTTGCACATCCCCTGCCAAACGCTGCCATGAAGAGCCACCACCAGCACCAGCCCTGGTTCCTGGAGCTCTGGACCAGAGCCTGCTGCAGTTTCAAATTCTTTCAGTGCCTGCCAGGAAATCACTGCTGAAACCCATAAAAAGGAGCAGCTGTTGGTGCTGTGGAGCCCTGGCACAGCTCTGCTCCAGACACGCATCCTTCCCAAGCCAGCCCCAGCACCAAGCCCAAGAACAGACACTGATGAAAGCAGAAAAGCTCTAAAAAGGAATAAAAAAGCCCGTAACAGTGAAGTTGCAGAACACTTGAAATGTGTTTATGGCTCCATCTAGCAGCATGTCATTTAATCCTGCCTTCACCTTCAGCTCTGCACTAACCCACACATCCCTCTCCTCAGGCTGGGGGGAATCTGCACAGAGCTGGCTCCTCCAGCAGCAGCAGCTGATTAAAATCTCAATTAAACTCGTGCAGTGCTCCACTGTCACCATGGCAAAGTCACCCTCTGTCCTCTCTGTCTTCTCCGAAGGAAAATAAATGTGGTGATTAAAGTTCTCCCTCCCTGCACTGCCCTGGTCCCTGGGCTAACACACAAACACAGGCACAGAGAGGGTTTCACATCCTCTCTGTTCTCTTCACAAGAACATTTAAAGCTGCACCTCCTCCCTCTGGGCAGCTCCTGCTCGTTCCATTTTCTGAGATACAAAGGGCCAGGTTTGACACCACAAAGTTCCCTTCCCTACATTGCACCAGCATGGATGTGTTAAGCTCTGCACCAGATTCTCAGCAGAAAAAAGGAGGCACTAAATATGAAGAATGTAAAGGGTAGGGCTGAACAAAAATGCTGTTGCTAAGAGGAATAAGTGGTTTTATTCATCATGGCAACACACAGAGCTTCAGGGATATGTACAGTGGAGAAGCTGAGAGCTGAGCCCTCACTTCAAGTCCTCCTCGGGTTTCTTGGCAGAGAACTTTTCCCGCAGTCTTTTCCACGTCCCTTTTTTCCTGTCTTCCATCTGTTTCAGAATGTCTGCAAAAGGAGAAGGGAGACAGAGATGGGGCCAGAGGAAGATAAGCAGGCAAGCAGAGGAATGAAACCCTCTTAAAAGAGCTCTGCCTTCCATCTAATTTCCTTTCCTGACTTTTCCTCTTAATGAATTTTCATTCCAGGCCCGAGGCGAGGTTGGTTTCCCTTCCAATCAATGCAGGGAGTCTCTTATCACCAACAACTGATACTCAGTTTCCACACACTGCAATCAAAGTTAGGAACTGGAGCAGAACAAAACTGCCCTGGCTCCCAGCTCTGCCCTTCATAAGGGATGTGGTGAGAGCATTTCTGAGTGGGGCACCTGCTCCTTCCCAGGGTCTGACACAGGAGGAATGCGAGGGGAATTGGAAGATGGTGAAACAGAAGCTGAGCTCAGTGTTGGGCTGACGTAGCAGAAGTGTTCCTTCCACACAGATCCTGCTGTCTGACCCCACAGAGCCTTTGCAAACCCTCTATGGTTGCTGACAGTGCAAAATCCCATTGATTCTTCACCCCAGAATACTGAGTTACTCCTCAACTGAATTATTCTTGAACTTACTCCTCATCCAACACGTCCACAGAATTGCAGGCAGCCCCTTGCTGCCCTCCAGCCCCAGGGGTGAGGAGGGATGCAAGGGAGCACCCCAAAACCCAGACTGTCCCTTTCCCCTGCCCCTCAGACCAAGCCCAGCAGCAGTACCTGTGGCCAGGATTGTCCTGCAATCCTCCAGTGTCACCCCGGTGAAGGTGGTGTCTTTCAGGCGTGGGTACTTCCCAGGAGAGCAGGAAAGGGAGGGAAGGACACAAAGCAGTCACTGGTAGTGCATGAAAAAGGTGCACGTGTCTCCAGCTGGCACAGTGTGAGTGCCTTTTCAGCTGGGATTCTGCTCATCCACACCAAGAACCAGGCCTGCCCTGCTCACCCAGCAGCTGCCCTGGGTGACCACAGGCACGGCTGCACCCACCCCTCAGCTGTCCCTCAGGCATTCCCAGGCACGCTGCCATTCCCAGGAATCCTGCAGCAGGGGGTGGCTCCCCCCAAAGAGAGGGGCAGAGGCCAGTGCCTCAGCTCTCACCTTGTTTTTGTAGAAGTTGGTGTGGATCCTGACCAAGCTCTCGTACATTTGGTCACAGGCCTCGGGGTCAGAGATCTGCAGGGGACACAAGTGTCACACAGGTCTGGTTTTACACTCCCACAGCAAAAACCCTCCTCGTTCCAAGGGACAACAGCCATGAAGGAGCAGCTCAGAATTCCCAGTGCACTGCTGGATATTGTCCATCTGCTCTGCTGCTCCAGGTTTTTCCCCTCCATCTCCCACCAGCCCGGCCAACAGGAATAACAACACCTGGGATTTCCAGAATGGATCTGAAGCTCTGCACCAACAGGATGTGACAGTGAATGCACAGCCCCAGAGAAGGTTATGGGCTGGTGCTGTGAAACCTGTGGCCCTTCCTGCTGCAAGGCCACTTCTGTCACCTGCCTCACTGTAGGGAATCACCAGGACAAGGTGCCAGGGCTCCCTGTAGGGGGCTAAAAATAGCCTGTAATTGATTAGGGAAATCAGCACAAACGACAAGGAACAGCTTGAAGGGTAACTGGATTTCTATTTCAGCTGGGAGATCCGGCTCAGCTCGGTGTCTCTGCCTGGCACAGCCCCTGCTCAGCTGCCTTCCCAGTCTACAACGTTTTCCCTGTTGGTTTTTATTGTAGTGCAATGATCCCAGCTCACCCCAGAACTCACTGCTGGTCCATGAATGGTTAAAACAGGTCAAGAGTAAAAATAACACCAAGAGAAAGGTGTCAGGATGAAAAGGAAAAGGTCTCTGCAGGAGAGAGGATACAGGGACAGCCACATTTCCCTGCAGGTGATCCCCACCTGTGCCCTGCAGCCCAAACACCCCCTGCCAATGCTCCAGCAGATCCAGACATTAAAATAGTGGCACAAACAGCATTCCTCCCCTGGAAATCCAGCAAATCTCATTCCATTAGATGGCTAAAGAAGCCCTGTGGCTCTAATTCCCCTCTCAGAAGCTCCTCCTGCCTGCACATTCAGCCTCTCCACACACAAATTGCCACCACTGCTGCAGGCATCAATTCAGATTTCCAGGATCAGTGGCAGCTTTGGGATCTTGGAGCCAACTGGTGCAACACATTAAGCTGTCCTGAGCATATGGAAAAGCAATAAAAGCCTTCCCAAAATGCCTGCTGCAGACTATTCTGGTCACCAGTACCGGATTAGGAGCCTCTAATGGCCCCTTGAGGTGGCAAAGGCATCTCTGGAACAATGTTTTTATGCTAAGAAAGGGCACATTTGCATTCTGCAGCAACACCTCCGCTCCCGGGAAGGTCTGCAGCCAAGTCAGGCAGCAGATTCCCTAATTTATTTCAGCAGCAAAGCCTAAACTCCAACAGAATTACAGCTGGAGGCGGAATTCGATTGTACAAGCGCTGCATTCCATCAGTGTCAGGCAGTGCTGCAGCATCCCATCGTGCCACCCTCGAGGCAGGGACAGCTCAGGAATTCACTGGACCCCAGCACGGCTGACAAACTGCCCAAGCCCTGCGCCCCACTGCCACAACCACAGCAACGGGGTCTGCAAAGAACACGGTGTAAAGGGCGCAAGAGCTGGGTACAAAGCAGTTATCCTGGGGATAAAACAGCTGTCCTGGGGCTGAGCATGAACCATGTGTGCAGGGCACCAAGCAGGTGTCCTGGGTGAAAACTGTCCTGGGCACCATTCAGGTGCCAGGGCACAAACCATTTATTCTGGGTACAAAATCCAGTGTCCTGGGCACAAAACCCATTTATCCTGGGTACAAACCATTTATCCTGGGTACAATCCTAGTGTCCTGGGCACAAAACCCAGTGTCCTGGACATAAATCATTTATCCTGGGTACAAAACCCAGTGTCCTGGGTACAAACCATTTATCCTGGGTACAATCCCAGTGTCCTGGACACAAATCATTTATCCTGGTTACAAAACCCAGTGTCCTGGGCACAAACCATTTATCGTGGATACAATCCCAGTGTCCTGTGCACAAACCATTTATCCTGGTCACAAACCCAACGCCGAGGGTACAAACCAGGTGGTCCCAGGTACAAACCCAGCGTCCTGGCTGCCAATCATTTGTCCCACGTACAGCCCAGGTGGCCGGGGCACAGTTTGCCCCGTGGAGGCACAAGCCCATGGCCGGTACTCCAAAGCCTTCCCGGGATGCGTGTCCCAAAGGCCCGGGAGCAGCAGGACTCCATCACCCCTGCATTCCCCGTTCCCTCCCAGCTCAGGATCTAATACTCCCCAAGCACAGCCTGCTGCCGGCAGGCAGCCCAGCGAGCCCCGGGGCAGAGCCGCGTGTGAGCGCCGAGCCCCCAGAGCCCCCTCAGAGCCCCCTCAGAGCGCCCTCAGCGCCCCCTCAGAGCCCCCCAGAGCCCCCCAGAGCGCCCTCAGAGTCCCCTCAGAGCCCCCTCAGAGCGCCCTCAGAGCCCCCCAGAGCGCCCTCAGCGCGCCCTCAGCGCCGCTCTCCGCGCCCTCCCAGGCCGGCGCCGCGCGGGTGCCGCCCTCCCGCCCCTCACCGGCGTGTTCTCGCCCTCGCGGAAGGCCTGTGCCACCCTCTGGCGCAGGAAGGAGCCCAGGTCCCGCTGCTGCTTGGTCTCCTCCACCGGCCATTCCTCGCAGAGCCGCAGGAAGCGCCGGTAGCGGCTGGCGGCCATGGCGCCGGGTCACGTGCGCCGCCTCACGTGGCGGCAGCGGCGCCGGGTCACGTGCGGGCGCGGCAGGGCGGGAACGCCTGAGGGGGGAGAGTGATGGTGGGGGGAGCCAAAGTGTGATAGAACACGGCTTGTTTTTGTTTATGCCTTGCTTGCTGTAATCAATAAATCCCTATTTGATTGTACCATTAAGGCGTGTCCCAGTTTATCGCAAAAGCGTGCCCGGTGCCCGCCTTGTGGGCTGCCCAGAGCCGCACCTCCAGCCATGGGCACGCCAACACCGCCCTCCAAAGCCTGACCGCCCTTTCCGTGAGGAAATTCCAACCGGAACCTCCCCTGCCTCAGCTTGAGGGTGTTTCCCCTTGTTATGTCCCTTGGGAGCAGAGCACGACCCCCCTTGGCTGCCCTCCTCTGTCAGGGACTTGTGCAGAGCCAGAAAGTCCGCCCTGATACCCCTTTTTTCCAGGCTGAGCCTCTTTCCCGGCTCCCTCAGCCTCTCCTGGGTCTCCAGACCCTTCCCTTCTCCCTCAGCCTCTCCTGATGCCCCAGACCCTCCCCAGCTCTCTCAGCCCATCGTGATGTTCCAGACCCTTCCCGGCTCCCTCAGCCCGTCCTGGGTCTCCAGACCCTCCCCAGCTCTCTCAGCCCATCGTGATGTTCCAGACCCTTCCCGTCTCCCTCAGCCCGTCCTGGGTCTCCATTCCCTTCCCAGCTCCCTCAGCCACTCCTCACAGGATTTACGATGGTTTGAGTTGAAATCCCATCTCATCCCACCCCCTGCCATGGCAGGGACGCCTCCCACTATCCCAGGCTGCTCCAAACCCCATCCAACTTCCCTAGGACACTGCCGGCCACACTGTGCAGGTGTATGAGGGGTGAAAAGAGAGAGCGCATGGAGATTTTTCTAATTATTCAGCCAACGAGTTGTTTTCTGTGCAGCAATGAAGAGTGAGGGGCTGCCCAAGGAAGCGCTCTGGCTGTGGTGTCACACCCAGACTCTTCTCATCCATCCCTGCACCCTGAGAATGCTCAGGTGGCTCTGTACAAACTCGTCCACAAAGCCACAAAGTCTTATCACAGACTTCTGCTGTGAGCCAGGACAATCTGTGGCTCAACCTCTACTGAAGTGGAGTGTTTGTGGCTTTTTTTTTTACAGTTTGTGGTCAAGCAATAACCCAACACTGTGAACAAGAGTCTTCCCAGGTGGACTCCGGGCCAAGCAAAACACACAACTGGGCCAGATGTCTTAAATTTTCCTGCTATAAATTGCAGCAGCTCCCCCAGCTTTCTGCTGTAAATCCAAGTGAAGCGTCTCCCTTGGGATCTGGTGTTTAAACCCGTGGCAATAACAGCTCTCTTAAAAAATGATGGGCTTAAACAAAGGATAAATGTACCTCAAGGATGCTGCAGGAGGGGAAAAAGAGATGGACAACGGTGGGAGTTACTTCCACAATTTTATTTCTATCCCCTCTCCCCAGTAGTGGAGTTCTGTAGCTCTATTCCTTGTGCAAGGACTTCTCCTTCAGATTTCCCACACCATGCAGGAAGGAATTGTGTTTGTTCCATCATCATAATAAAATCTGTCCACAAAAGCTGTAAACATTATTTTTAGAGTCTTTTGTTACTGTCTCCTTCAAACACACATGCGCACACACACGCACACACACACACAGAGTATTTGTATCAAAGAATTTCTGGGTGACCTTTGACGTCCAGTCCCTGACCCAATCTCACACTGTTTTTCCTTTTTTTTTTTTTTTTTTTTAAGCAAAAATCCCTTGATGTGAATGTTTTTTGTGGCTGATACCTGACGGAGTCATCACACTCCCACACTTCCAGCCCCAGTGGAGCCTCTTTCCTAGAAAATCCGTGGAAAATTCCCTGTTATAACCCCACAGGGATGTTAAAGCTTGGTGAGGTGCAACTCTTGGTCTGAAGACGTGTACAGAGAATCCCAACTAGGGGCACTGGGAATGTTGGAGGGTGTTTTTCCCTCCCACCTGAGCAGGAGCAGGAAGGGAAGCTCCAAATGGAAGCTCCATCTGTTCATTCCTGCCTCAAACCCGCTCCTCCCGCTCGGCTGCGGGGCGAGCATCTCCTGGTTTATCATTAAGACTCTTCCCAAGTAATGCTTTCTTTGGCTCACAAATAAATCAAGGACAGCAGTAAAACCAGAAAGGAAAATAAATCTTCTGATGGATGGCAGAGAGAGCAGATTCTTCCAGCTCTCTGCTTTCCACGCTTCAGTTCAGTGACGGCACACGGAAAATTTTCAGCACTTCCCGACTGATCCGTGCTCGTTCCCTGCCACATCCAGCAGCTGGAGGGTCCCACACAGCCGACCCCAGGTGGGATTTTCAGGGCTATCAGTCATTAGGAAATCACAGAAATTCTCACTTCCCTTCCAACAGGCTCTGAAGGATTTTGATGAGGTTCTCCAAGCCAAAAATGTAGCCGTGGTCCGGCCCATCGTACGGGGTGGGATTGGGGTTGCTCTTGGAGCCTTTGAAGGTGGTGTGGGCAAAGTCTATCATCCTCACATCCACCCTGGAGGGGTTCGTGCCGTGAGTTTTTGGGAAGGAGAGGTGTTGATCCACGCTCTCCTTGTGCTCCTGCCCGTCGTAAATGATGAGGAGGGAGCTGGAGTAGAACCTGTAGGAGCTTTGCTTCCTGATGACCGCCAGCAGCGCCTTGAGCCGCAGGATGATGGGCTCCAGCAGGTCGCTCCTCAGCTGATTCCCGTTGCACAGGAACTGCCGCAGGGTCTGCCGGAATCCCTCCGGGGACAGCTTCCTCCCGTAGTATTTGTCTTTGCACAGGAAATGGCCGGTGTCTGCCTGGTAAACCTGGGAGGGAACAGAGGAATAATCCATCAAATCGTCCTGAGTTGTGAGGGATTCACGAATGATGCTTTAGAGATAAAGATTTTAGCCTTTGTATTTTTCAAATCCTGTGCTGCATTAGTGCCTAACTCTAAACTTCATATAACTTCATATAGTTCATGTAACTAACTTTGGTAGTTAACACTTGGCACTGACACACTTTGGTCAGACAAAACAATTCCTCTGGGCCTGGAACCCATGGACACCCTACAGGCCCTCAGCAAAGGATAAACAAAGTATAAACAAAGCAAAGTGTAAACAAAAGTGAGTCGAGGATGAGCGAACTGGGGGTATATGACTTCATTACCTGAAGCTGTAATTGGAGAATTAACCCCTAATATGCAAATAGACCAAACTTATATCTGTCTGAAAAACTTGTGACCATCTTCCATCTCGGGTGTAGCCTCTGGGAGGCTTTTGACTGCTCAAGGTGTATCTATTAATTTTAATAAATACCTACTTTATTCTCTTATCTCTGTCTAGCCTCTGTTCTAGGTAGCCACTCCAAGGATCAATATGACTGCTGAAGTTCAACTCTGCCCATACAAAGATGCCTGAAAAGGACATGGGTTTTGACTTTATATATTTTGCTTTATATTCTATTCTCATTATCCTTCAGGCAGTGTTTTGAAACCTGCTTGAGAACAGTGAGTGAGAGAAACGTGTGGTTTGGGTTTCCAGGAGGAAGGATGGGGATTTCCAGCAGGAAAAATTTAATTCAAAATGAACCCCTGGCTCTCACAGCTCAGTGAAAGCACACGTGGGGCAATGTGGTGTTTTTGGGGTATTTTCATGCAGCAGCCAAGAGCTGAGCAGGAAGCTGTGTGTAAAAGCAGCTTCTCAGATGGGGTGAAAGGTTCCAGCTGCTCGCACTGGTGGCCGTGGCACAGAGAAAGGTCACCCTAAATGTGCCATATTTGACACCCTCTCTGAGAGGACACAGAGCTGAGTGGCTGTGGGAATCCTTAAAATCAGAGGGTTTCTTCCTAATACCTTGCTAGATATACTTTTCTGTTTCTTAGGGAGTTGTTCTATCCAAGTATTAATACACAGACCATTGTTCTATTTGTCCTTAATTCCTACTTCTTATATAACTTTTCTGCTGACAAATCTTAAGGCTGCTTCTCAGTTCTGCTGTTTCTGAGGCCTGCCTTTTACAGCTTTCCCAAAACCCTCTGATTTTAAAGATTCCCACAAGTGGCCACTTTTTACAACCCTTGTTTGAGAGGGAAAAAATAAAACCGCTTCAATTCACACCAGCCAAGAACTCCTGGAGAATCCAGCTTGGTTCCAAGCGAGGAGCCAAGGGGGGAACCAAGACCCTGAGGAGCTGGAGGCGTTACCTGCATCCCGCAGATGCGCACGCCCAGCGACGCCGAGGTGCTCTGCTCACACTTCTTGATGTGCCGGGCTTTCTTCTCCTCTGAGGCGTCATCCCCGTGCTGCCTCGTGCCCATCTTCAGGTCCAGGATGCAGGGATAGCTGTACTTGGACACCACGTTTTCCAGCAGGAGAAACTCTGAGCGTGAGTTAAGGGAAACCCAATACTTTTAAATTCTAATTGAAAGAGGCCTTAAATCAAAGCAACTGCTGACACTCTCCATAACAGCTCACAACTGTAATGAGACTTTCTCAGCCAATTTCTCTGACGTGTCATTGCTATGGGCCTCTCGCTGCCAATTCCAGTTAATTTACTGTACTACAGCCCTACCAATTAAAGCCCCAACAGCTCCATTCTCCAGTGACACCGTAGCCCTGGGCTGTCACTCTGACACCTTCCCTAGGTGCTGAGCTCGCTCCGGTGGGTGGGGGAAGTTGTTAAACTCTATTACTCACATGACTGCTGGGTAATGAAGTGTAATAGGAAAATAAAAGGCGAGGCAGCTGCTAATTCCTGTATAGTTGTGTTTTTAAATGTATGCCAAGGGGATCTTTGACTTCTGCTGAGAACTCTTTATGGGAAATGGTTTTTTTTCTTCTTTCTCTTTTTTTTTTTTTTTTTTAGAAGATAACAGACAATATTCCTTATTTTCCCAGAGTCTGTGCAGAGGAGGGGATGCAATAAACCCTACACTGGTTCCCAGCTGTTGTCTGTAGCCAGGACTGTGCTGGAGGGGAGAGAGGAGAAAGGATACGATGCAGTTTGTTCTCGTTGTGCTTGGAGGACATGCGGTTCAGGTGCTGCCGGTGACAGTGCAGTCCCCAGGGGTTGTAGCTCTTCCTTTCTGGCTGCTTCCCATTTGCATCCTCCAAAAGGGAATCTGTGTGGTACTGAAGGTCTGTCCTCAAAAGCATCTTGCCAGGGCAGCTAGACAAAGCACACAAAGGGACATGTCAGGTTTATAAGCTCCAGAGGAGAATATGCTCTTCCCTATTTTTTTCCTTTTCCTGTAGAGCCTCAAACTTGATAAGGTGGATTTTCAGGGACTCTCAAAGGAACCATATTGATCATATCCAACCTGCAGAGATCCTTTGTTACTCCATAACAGTAATTTTCAGAAAGCCAGCTATTGCTCCCTGCCAATACTTTTTTTTCATTATAATTTAAAGTGTGCTGGCTCCCTTGAAAAGCCGTTCACAGCCCCAGCTGCCAGGGGCTTTATTTATCCACCTAATGGGCACAGCACAGGAAAATGGTCCAACAATGGGAATGATTCCCAATTTGGAAGGGCTGCCTCCAAGGAAGGGAGTGATGAGAAGATTTGTTCTTCTTGGGGGGCCATTCCTTGGTCTTGCTCATCCCAACTCTACCACTCCCATCACTCCAAAGGTAGCAGGGGTCTTCCTCCTCCAGTCCTGGGTGGCCCAGGGCTGCTCTGAACCAGTTTGGGATGAAGGCAGAGGTGCTGGGAGCACTGGGTGCCTTCCTGGGAGAGCTCTCCCCTGGGATGGGATGGGATGGGATGGGATGGGATGGGATGGGATGGGATGGGATGGGATGGGATGGACTGAAGCCCCTCTGCTGCCAGCAAAGGGACATTCCATGCTCAGTGACTGTTCTCCTATGGCCTCTCCTCTCCTGGAGCCTGCTGTGCTCCAAGGAATGGGGTTTAGAGCAGAATTTGAGGCAGATATTTGAACAACAACATCCCAGATCCACCTCACTCTGTCCCCATACCAGGGAAGAGCAGAATCACACACACAGGGCACGGCTCTGCTGCTCTTCACCTTGGCTGGGTCCTTTTGCCTTAAACCCACAGATGGACCACCAAACCCATCTCAAACCCATCCCAAACCCATCTCAAACTCATCCCAAACCCATCTCAAACCCATCCCAAACCCATCCCAAACCCCTCCCAAACCCATCCCAAACCCATCCCAAACCCATCCCACCCAAGTTGCAGATGCCAGCCAGGAGGACTGCAGGGGGTGACGGACCCTCACCTGTCTTTGAAGGTCTTGGTGACCTGGGTGTGGCTCCACTTGCGCTTGTGCCACAGGGTGACCGCGGGGTCCCCTCCGGCGCTGTCCAGGCGGCCGCAGCTGTCCGGCTGGCCCAGGCCAGGGCTGGCAATCAGGGTCAGGTTGCCCAGGCTGTCCTTCTTGAGGTGCACGGACACAATGCCTGGACAGAGGGGAAAACAAAGGAGACAGATGAACCCGTGGGGTATCACGGAGGCCTGGCCACCACCTCGTGTTTTGGTGGCCTTTCACTGATCCCACTCTGATTTCAAGCCCAATAAAGCATCATTAGGCTGAGACCCTGGAAAATACTCTCAGGATTTTCAAGGGTTCCCCCTCTTAAGGCTCAGTTTGAAACCTGCCTCCTCTGACCCCACATTCGTTTGTTCCCACCCCTCTGAGCCCTGCTGTGCCCCAGGTGACCCAGAAAAGCCCCCTGCTTCGGATCAGGAACTCCCAGCTCATTTATCACAAGATTTAAGTGCTTTTTAAAGACACCACAAGGCTGGAAACACTTTTCATTGGCAGGAAGCAGAGGGAGGGTTGGGGACAAGGCATTTTCCAAGGACACCCAGCGTGCCAACGGCTCCTTTTAGCTGGAGAGCCCCAGGAGCAGGGCAGGGATGTGGCCGTGGGCTGGCAGTGCTGCCCACACATTGTCACGGCCGTGTCCTTCCCCCAGCGCCAAGGCCAGCACCCAGACATCCCATGGGGGGCTGGAGTGTCACACGTCCCGTGCTTGCGCCCCGCAGGGACCATGACTGCGACCGGAGGTTATTTTTTCCCACCCTGAGTGCTTAAAACACCATTCTGCATTTGAACATTGCAATTTTCCCTGACTCTGACAGGAATCACAGGGCTCAAATGCCAGCACGGATTTAGCCCATGCCTGGCACGGGGCCGGCTGTCTGCGCGTCTCAAGTGACAGCGCAGGAATGGCCACGGGTGGCACTGCCGCCGGCTCTGACCTTTCTGGGAAAGGCTGATAACGCCAGCCCGCTCCCGCAGCTCCGCCACGGCTCCCCGAGCCTCCCCACGCTCCGGGGGCCTTCTCAGAGCACAGCCTTAAGCTGCATCACGGGAAGTTTAGCTTAAATGTTTAAAAAAAATTAAATTATTCACTGAAACAGTGATTAGGCACTGCCCAGGGTGGAGTCACTGTGCCTGGATGTGTTTGAAAAAGGCTGGATGTGGCACTCGGTGCCGTGGTTTAGTTGATGAGGAGGTGTTAGGTTAGGTCATGGGTTGGATTTGGTGGGCTCAAAGGGCTTTTCCAAGCTGGTTCATTCTGTGATTTGGGGCTCAGGAAGCTGCCAGCTCCCAGAGAGGGCAGGGACCAGGGACAGGGCAAAGGCAGTGCTGGAAAGAGCCCAGCTGGGGACAGGGAGAGCTGGGCTGGATCCAGCTGTGCCCAGGGCATCCTCACCGGGTCTGCCGGGCGTGTGGGGAGATGATCTCAGCAGCTTAACAAACAGTTCTGCTCTCCCAAGCAAAGGTGCCAACGCAAATAGAGGTGCAAAGCCCCTTCTCTCCATTCCGAGTGTGACTGCAGTGAGCAAACCCCGAGCAGAGGCTCTGCCTCCTGTGCCTGCTGGGCTCTGTGCCGCAGGGCTTTCCCCACCTGAACTGTCCCTCAGCCACCCTGCTGGACTGGGGTGCCCATCCCTGCACCCCAAAACTTGGGTTTGGGTGCTCTTCCCTCGGCTCAGCCATTCCTGGTCCCTTCTGCTGCACAATCAGCATTGTTGTGAACAGGCTGGGTTAAACGGGCTGACATTACACAGAAATGGGGGGAAAATCTACCCAGGCTGCTCTGCCAAGGGAGCTGAGGGGCTGCAAACCTTCATTAGGGGGAAAAGGAATATTTTTAGCCCTCCCAGCCCTCTGTGGTGAGCTCAGGGAGTTCCACCTTGCTCAGGCTCCAGCATTACATTTTCCCTGAGTCCTATTCTTAAAAAATCCATATTTCTGAGAGCAAACAAATCTCCTCTGAGCCTGGATGACTGCTTCACATTTTCAGGGGATGTAGGCATAGAAAAAAAAAAAAAAGCCAGTGTCTCTTTTGCCTAAATCAAAGCCTTTTTCATTTTAAAAAGTCACGGGGAGGCGACCAGAGCCTTCGATTGCAAACACCATAACCTTAAAAACTGTCCCAGTTCCTGCCTACAGTCAGCAGGGCTGTGCTCATTTGCATAGTGCTGACGGGCTGGCCCCAAAAAACTTCTATATAGCATGAAAGTAAGAGTTGTTAAATATCAGCCATTAATATGAAAATTAATGGGGAGATTTTCAAAGGCGAGAACCAAGCGTTAAATTGGAAGGGAAATGCGATCCTCTCCCTCCTCCCAGCTGGAAATTCAGCCCTCAAAAAACCTACAGCTCAGTCTGGAAAGTGTTTTTTGTCTTCTGGGGGGATTCCACGGGGGTTTGCAGGTGTCCTGCCATGACCTGTGTGTGGCAGACATCCCCCAGAGCTCCTCCTTTGCTGCGGGGGCAAACATCTCTGCAAAGCCTTTGGGTGCCTGTCTGTGCTGGCCTCTGGTGTCACTGACAGCCCAGTGCCCCTCCTGCCGCCACCAGCCAGGAGCCAGAGGGTATTTCTGGGTGCTGTCACCACGCTGGTGGCATGCCAGAGGCTCTCAGGAGGTTTCATTCTGTAACTCTGCCCTCGTGGGTTTATTTTTGTGTTTACAAGCACATTCATCTACGGCCCAGGGCGCTGGGAACCTGAGCAGAACTGGGCTGGAAAACAAGCCCAGCATCCCCCTGCGAGCTCAACTGGGACAGGCAGAGCCTTCAAAGGGAGTAAAAGTTGGTCCCAAGGTCACCAAAGTGCCTGATTTGGGTGAGGTGAGCAGGAAAAGCCACGGGCTCGGGGTGAGGCTTGGGTGATATTTGATCCCCATTGTGGAGAATGTCATCGTTATACAGAATGTCACCATTGCACAGAATGTCACCATTACATAATGGTCCCAGGGCCGTTCCCACAGCCCAGAAATAGAGATGAGGTACATGGATACGTGTGGGTGGGGGATGGAGCCACCAGGATCATCTCCCTCATCATCCTCACAGGAAAGCCTTCCACCTCTTTGATTGCCTGGCAGCAGGGCTGGGACAGCCAGGAGAGGAACAAACCTCTGAGCCCAATGCCAGAGTGGAGAATTGCTTTTTAATTACCCCTCATCATAAAATTCTCTGGGATTTGAAATAGGAGAAGAAAAGACACAAAGGTTTGAATAACCAGGGCACCCCTGGACTGGTTAAACTGGGACTGTTTAACAGCTTTATCAGCGAGGCCCCAGTGCTGCAGTGCCCGGCTCCTGCCAGAGGAAACTGCTCAGAGGAAACTTTTCTCCTTTAAGTATCTTTTTAATATTGTCCAATAAATCTGCAGGGCCCCTGACTTTCTGGGAAAGGGAGAGATTGGGCTGGAAGCACATTGGAGCCGTGGCTGACTGAGCTCTTTGCTGTAATGCCGAAGGACCAAGAGATATTTTAAGTTTTTACGTGACAAGCGAGCTTCTCGCCTCCCCCAAAAGCCAGGGTCAGGAGCTTTATGAGCAGCACAAGTCTGGCAGTAAAAGCAGAAAGTACTGAAGGAATAAGGAAGAGAAGGGAGGGAGGATGTCTTTAAAAAATGCTCTCACAGTGCTGCTTTCCAGGGGCTGAGATATTCAGGGATGGGGCAGCAAGCAGAGGGACAGGCAGGAAAACCCTCTGAGCCTGGAAAGGCCTCACCTGCAGCAGCTGGGGGTGCTTTTTAGGGAGCTGAGAGCTCTGCACTCCCCTTACCTTTGTACTGAGGCGTGAACTGCCTCATGGCCAGGGGCAGGGACTCGTAGAAGCTGAGCTCCTGCGACACCAGGGGCTTGCAGACGGTGTGCTCGTCGTAGGTCAGCATGCTGGTGTGGCCGCCCACCTGGTGCACGAAGGGCTGCAGGAGCACAGCAGCCCTGGGCTCGGCAGGGCTCTGCCCCACCATGGTGCCAGGCACAGCCCAGGGGGCTGCAGACCCTGCAGCAGCAGCAGCACACGGAGCTGGCAGACACGGGCTGGCACGGGCAGGGCTGGGCTGGTTTTCACCCACTCTGGTGTTTCCCCCACGCTGGGTTTTCCTCCTTTCACTAATGGGATCTGCAAAACAGAGAGAATCAAGGAGTTAGAGGAGAAGGGTCACCCAGCAGCTGGGTGGGATGAGGTGTGTCAGTGCCCAGGGGCTGGCAGGGAGCCCCAGCCTGGCACAGAGAGTCCCAGTTTTGATCTGCTGGGAACAAGAGACAGCGATCAGAAGAGCTGTGAATTAAAGCAGTGACCTCATCAAGGCAGCAGGATCAGGGATTAACACCATTGGTGCTGTGGAACACCCCCAGTTTGCCCCACAGGCCATGCTAGGGTGGTCCCAGGCCTTCCCTTGGACATTCCCTGCACAGCAGCATTGCTGCAAAGCCCCTGCAAATCCCCAGGGACTCCCCCTGATTCCAGAAATTCCTCTTGGTTCTGACAGCAACACGTCTCAGCTCTAAAGCAGCAATGTGGAAAATCACGGAGCACATCTGTGCTGCATCCCCAGCAGCAGCACCCAGCAGCACCTGCTCCTTCTCCATCCCTCACAGGACACCCTGGACGCCTCGTGGACATCAGGGATTGAATCCCACAGGCACCAAGGATGACAAAAAGGACCAGAGGTGGACACTCCACATCCCAGACTCACAGGGATGGGAAAAAAATTATTCAAATCGTCATTTGAGGATGGGCCCATGGCAGCACAGCCCCTTTCTCCTGATTGCTCCAGCTTCAGCACAACCTGGAGGGGGGAGCTTTGCACCCCATTTTTGCCAGCAGAGCCCCAGTGCAGGGACAAGGATGCCTTTCCAAGCCCCAGGTCTGCCAGGAAAGCCCCCAGGATGTGCTGCCAGGTGAGCAGCTCCACCCCTGCCAGCCCCACGGGACAGGTGTGACCCGGGCAGCGCTGTCACCCCTCCCTGTGCAGGAGCAGGGCACAGCAGAGGGGTGCTGGCACCTCCGGGAGGCACCTGCAGCTTCCGTGGCGGGCAGAGCTCTGCTGGGAGGGCTTTCATCCTGCAGGAAGCATCCAGAGCTCCGGAGCTGGATCCTTCTGGGTCCCTTCCAACTCAGGATGCTCAAATCTCCCCTGCTGGGTTTAACCCCCGAGGGAAAAGCACCTGGCGCAGGTGCCTGCTCTGCTCCCCGCCTGGAGCAGTGGGATGGAGCGGGCTGAAGAGCCGCTCCCACCTCCGAACGCTCCTTTATCTCCCCCAGGGTGGGGTTTTTCCCCTCCCATTATTCCTCCTCGGAGAGGAATTCCTGCTCTACAATTACCTTTCCCGGAGGAACAAAGGCAGGCCCCCGAGCCGAGCGCTTTCCAGCCGGGAAGAAAGCGGCTCCTCGGAGCTTTCCTGGCCGTTAATAAAAGCATTTTGTTAAGTTGTGGCAATTTTTAAAGAGGATTTTCTGCCTCGGGAGCCGCGGGTTTGTTGTAGTTTGTTTTGTGTGGCTTTGCCCCCCCTTCCTCTCATCCTTAAAAAGAAGGAGAAAAGCCAAAAGCAAGCGGATTTGTCATAACACCTCTTTGGAGCAGGGAACAACACGACTTAAATCCTTTCCTGCTTCTGAGACAGTCCAAGGCTCAGACTCAGCTGCCACAACCCCCTGACAGCTCTGGCAACCTTAACATTGGGGAAAAAACATCCACAATTTGCTAAAGCTCCCGAATGTTTTCTCCCAAGCAAAACTCGGAGCGGGATTTGCAGTAGGAGAAGGAGGTTCTTTTCTGGGAGTTTCTGCCGGGAAGCAGCTCATCCATTCGGAGCAGATAAATGTTCCTGTGAACACTGAGCTCCCCTGAAACAAGACACTGGAAATAAATCACTTCCAGTGGCTCAAGGTATCGCAAATGCCAGGAGATATTCACGTCACTAAAAATACACGGAATTACAGATAAATCAAGACCCTCCAAGAAAAACCAGAATCTGTCAGTGTTTTTCCCCCAGCTAAAGCAAAAGCAGCTCAGGTGCTGCAGGTGGAAGTGAGCCAGGAAATATCGGGGAAGGAGGATATGGAGAACATTCCTCTGCATAGAAGAGAAATATTCCATTCTCCAGGAAAGGAATGGGGCTTTGGAGAAGCCATGGAAGGTGTCCCTGCTCCTGGCAGGGCTGGAGCTGGGTGAGTCTGCCCCAGTGCTGGGGACAGCACTGCTCCCCTGGCACTGTCACCTCCCCCCCTGCTCCCAGACAGGGCCAAATGTCAAAGGAGTCTCAGTGAAACAGATTGTTTATCCCAAATCCAAACCGAGCCAAAAGGAACTGGGCAGGTTCAATTCTCTAATCTTTGAGTGGCACCTACTCCATCCCATCCCATCCCATCCCATCCCATCCCATCCCATCCCATCCCATCCCATCCCATCCCATCCCATCCCATCCCAACCAGGACTCCTGTGGCCCCAGGGGAATGCACATCCAGGCCAAGCTGGGTCCTGGTGGCAGAAACCCCCAGGAATATTAAAATGCAAAATCTGTCTAAACACAAGAGCTCTGTGCTCTCAGTGTCACCCCTCGTGGCCACCTCCCTGCTCTCCCAGAACTCCAGAGCTGGGCTCCAAGCACTGCACTGCAGATTCTTTGCTTCATTAAAGGCAAGAAAAGCTCATGGCTGAGATCTGTGCGTGCACAGCTCACGGTGCTGGAGCTCACCTGGAGTCACACCAGCCCCACCATGGACATGGTGCCAGCACAGACACAGTGCCACCAGGGACCCAGTGCCACCAGGGACCCAGTGCCACCAGGGACCCAGTGCCACCACAGACACAGTAACACCACAGGAGCCGGTGCCAGCACAGACACAGTGCCACCAGGACCCAGTGCCACCAGGGACCCAGTGCCACCACAGACACAGTGCCACCATAGGCACAATGCCACCAGGACCCAGTGCCACCACAAACCCAGTAACACCAGAGGACCCAGTGCCACCAGGGACACAGTGCTACCAGGACCCAGTGCCACCAGGGACACAGTGCCACCATGGACCCGGTGCCACCACCGACCCAGTGCCAGCACGGACACAATGCTACCAGGGATACAGTGCCACCATGGACCTGGTGCCAGCACAGACACAATGCCACCAGGACCCAGTGCCACCAGGGACCCAGTGCCACCAGGGACACAGTGCCACCATGGACCCGGTGCCAGCACAGACGCAGTGCCACCACACTCTGCAGCAAAGGGCACAGCTTCCCTCACCCCCCTGCCCACTTTCCGCCTTCCACAGCACCTCCCTCCCCTCCTCCAGCCCAACGCTTCCCAGCCATTCCATCCCCCGATGGAGAACCGAGAGCCACCAGCTGCAGGGTCCCTGCAGAGACTCCCACCAGCCCCAAGAGCCGCCTGTCCCTGCTGCTCCCATTCCCTGCCAACACCCAAGGCCGTGCCCGTCCTGCCCCGTCCCTCCTGGCCGGGGATCCAGCCCCGAGCTCACCTGGGGCTGCAGGTGTGCGCCGGGGGCTGCCTGGGCCGGCCTTCTCGCTGCTTCTCGCTGCAGCTCCAGAGCGAGGAATGAGGGAACGTTTGGGCATGGCCCGACTGCGTCGGCGCTGGCAGGAGCCCGGAATGTCCAGCTGACATTCCAGGGGGCTGTGCTGGGCAGGGACAGCCTGGCTGGGACAGGGAAAGAGCCGCGTGCGAGGGCTGGGAACGGAACGAGAGGAGCCGGCCGCGCGCCCCGGCTGCCTTGGGAAATCGGCTCTCCAGGAAAACAACTGGGGATTTGTCCATCTGTTTTCCACGGAACTCCCCCCTCAGCTCGGGTTTGTCACCTCCCTGCAGAGTGACACTGGGAGAGGGATGGAGCTCCTAAACCACCGGGAAGAACAGCCCAGGGAGATGCGGGAGGAGAGGCACGGGGAGGTGACAGGGCTGGGGGACACCAAATCCCCTTTGTGGCAAAGGAAGGGTGTGGGCAAAGCAGGGGAAGGTTAGAGCTTGCCCAAAGCTGGGCAAGGAGATGAGTGCATCCAGAGCTCCAGCCCTGCCAAGGGGAAAAGAGACACGTCAGAGCTGGGAGCTGTGATGGGAATGGAAAAGTCCCAGGGAGCTTCCTGCCAGGGCCACGCTGTCCCCTGCAGCCATCCTCAAGGACAGCGTGTCCCCCAGGCCTTGCTGTGCTGTACAGAGAGTGCCAAGGGCTCCTGGCAGCCCTGCACCCCAAAGAAAGGGGATCCACGTGGTTTTTAGGGAATCACAAGGAGCACTGGGCCTGGGCAGCAGCCGGGACAAGGAGGGGACGGTGCCCACTCTCACCCCCAGGCCCCAGCAGGAACTTGGGGACTTCAGCACAGCCATCCCAGGCCTGGGCCCCCAGGGATGCTGTGGGGAAAATGCTGGGGAAGAAAACCTCACAGCTGGGATAGGGAGTGGTGGATGTGGAAATTCCCACTGACTGGAAGGGAGAAATCAGGTTTGAGAGGAGCAGAGGGATCAAACTCATGGTGAGGGCAGGGGCCTCACCAGCCTGAGATGAAAGACAAGGATGAAAGAAAGACCCAGATTGCCAAGGCCTGGCTTCCCAGCTCCCCTGGATCTTTCCAGGAGAACTGGCCCCGTGCCCTGACTCCGTGCCCATCAATAAGGTGCAGAATCAGCTGTCGTGTCAGCAGCAGGAAAAACATCCCATGGGAAGGGCTTTAAATGGAAGCAGGAAAGGAAAAGATGAAGAGCTGGGCTCATTTCAGAGCCCTCGCTGGGCCACGTTTGCCTCCCTGACAGGGAGGGGATGCAGCAGCTCCACTGGCTGAGTTATTTATAGAAATGTGGTTCATTACAGAAATTTATTTTGCAACAAAGTGGGAAAGGGCCCTCAGCAGCTCTGCTGGGCAGTGGGGGCTGGGAGGGGAGCAGGGCAGGGGGCAGAACCTGCTTCTCCCAGGAAAACTGCCAGAATTCCCAGCCCAGTCTGGCATGGAATGGGGCTGCTCCAGCCTGGAGAGGAGATGGAACAGGGGACATGGGGGGTGACAGTCACAGCCACCATCAGACAGCCCCTGGCACGTGGAATGGCTCCAAGCAGCACCATTTCCTAACCTGAACAATTCCAGCTGTAACTTAGCAACCTCACCTGGGTGAGAGCATCCCGCCAGGATCGTGGGGCCTGAGGAGAACCAGCCCTGCACTGATCCCCTCCCTTTGTTCCCAAATCTCAGCAGCAACTGCAGCTCCTGCTGGCCACGGAGCCACCCCCTTCCCGAGGCACTGGAAATCCCCTTTGTCACCCAGAGCCACAGATGAGATGAATTCATCCAAACGTGAGTCACCCCTTTCCACAGAAGTCCCACAGTGGTGGGGAACAACTCCTGCCACACCCCAGAGCTTGGGAGGAGCTGCAACTCGACCTCATCAAGCAAAAGCACTTGGGACAGTCTGTGATGTCTCAGCACAAATAAAAGTAGTAAATTATTGGTAATAAATTTATTTTTGATATTGATTTTTTTTTTACAGAGCTAAATGGAACATAGAAACAGCACCAAGCCATTGAAGTTTGTTCTACAAAACTGGGTTTAATACAAAAGGATGACAGCAATGCCTGACTCTGCGCTTCTGGACGGTTAAAAAAGCTCACCCAAACCCCACCAAGAGTTTAAAAAGGTTTAAGAACAGAGGCACCGGTGTTTGAGAGGATTTCTCTGGCAGCAGTGGTGATCTTGATACATGTGGAAGAATCAAATTTGCCTTTATTCCCAATTTATTGCAGTGCAAGGGGCTGGTCCTTGCCTAGAGCTGTTGAGTCTCCTGCCCAAACACCCACACCCAAAAATTTGGGGTAAGAGCCCCCTCCATGCAGGATATTCCCCATTTCATGGGAGTCTCCTGGTTTTGCTCCTGGAGAGCTCTGCTCCACCCCCGTGGGGAGAGGTGCAGGCTCTGCCAGGTGAGCAGGCACAAGGAGCACACCTGGAGTGGCATCCCCTGCCCAGGGCTGTGCCCTCAGCCAGCCCAGAGCCCAGGACAGGGGCAATCAGAGCATCCAGCCCCAGATGTCCTCAAGGAGAGCAACACCCAGGGGCTGCAGGGCTCAAATCACTGCTGGCTTCACTCTGCAGCTCCTCCTGCCCGAGGCCAGCAAAGGATTTGGGTCCTGCAGCCTCAGGAGCTGCTGCAGAGCCCTGGCAAGAGCAGAGCAGCAGCTCCTCTGCTGAGCCTGAACTGCCACACACTGGTGCCATTTCCTGGGAAACAAACACTCCTTCACTGGACAGAAAGAGAAGCTGAAGTAACCAAGTGATTACAGACACGAGATACGATGCAGCAGGGCTGGGACAGAGCCAGGCTGCTCCTGGGACCCGTCAGGGGCTGCAGGAACAGCGACAGTCCCAGAGCTGGCACCTCCCTGCTCTGACACAAACACAGACACTGCAGCTGCCCAGCTCCAACACGAGCACTGAGCCCTCCCAAAGCTGCTCTGAACAGCCACGGAGCAGAGCTGGGCTGCAGCCACAGCAAAGCGCCTTTAGAAGATTCCTATATCCTTTATTTTCCACCCAAATTCCCCACCAAGCCCCCCCAAAAATAAAAAAGCACACAGACTGCAGACTTAAAAGTGTAACAGGATCACAAACTCTCCTCCACCACCCCAGCCCAGCCCAAACCACCAAGGCACGTCAGGCTCCCCCCTCTCTCCAGGCCCACCTTCACCCAATTCCCCCCTCTCCCAATTTTGGATGGATGAAGCCAACACAAAACATTTTCTTTGCTGGGAAGCAGCAAGTGCTTCCTCGCTGTCTTTGCACTGATAAAAACAAATGCAAACAAAGACACGCCTGCAACTGCCACCCTAATGTTTCCATGGGAAATGTTATCTTTCAGTACATTCCCTGATGGACTCTGCCACCAGTTGGCCTTTGCAGAATTGAGGTCAAATTTTGCACCCCCAGGCTCTGGCAGCCCTCGAGAGGGGTGTGCAGTTATTCTTTGTTGTTTGCTTGCCACGGGAGCCAGGTCTCTGTGGAAGGCTCACTTTGGTGCAATCCCAGCTTCCCACCAGCTCAAGCCCATCTTCTTTCCAAGCCAGTATTGCCCTGAACGTGTGTGTTTGGAGAGTTTCAGCAGTTGAGAGCAAACAGAGCCGTGCAACCCCCAACCCTGGGCCAGGCCCTGCTCCTCCCACCAGCAGAGAGGGCCCCGAGGGCTGCACAGGGTCCACGTCCCACCCTGCTGCTCCTCCTGCTGCCCTCAG